AAATATTTTGGCGGGAAAAGTTTTTAGCGGAAAAATTTTGACGTAATTTTTTTTTTGCAGGAAAATATTAACGATCTATTTGTGATTTTTTGTATCTATTTATAATTATTTATTAATTTAAAAAATAAAAAATAAGGTGCTATTTTTGTCTAATAAACTTTTGAGTGCTATTTTTGTCCCAAAAACTTGATTTGGGGCTATAAGAGATAATGTTCCGGCTTTCTTCATCGTGAATGTGAGATTGTTTGTTCGTTCTATCTTTTTCCAAGCTTCAGTCCTTTGCCTTTTCTCAACTCTCTTCTTCATTTCTCTGTTGTTCTTTATTGGTCCTCTACTCTTCTTCTTCACGGTCTTATTCTTATTCTTCATCATGATATAGTCTTTCCCAGACTCAGCTTTCACCTTTTTGGAATTGTTCACTACAAAAACAGAAGCGAAAGAAGTAGAGGGAAGAGAGGTTGTAGAGGGAAGAGAGGAGATTTCAAGATAATGGAGGTGTAGAGGGAAGAGAGGAGATTCGTGGAGAACTTTAAAATAAAGTTTTAGTAAGTACAAAAACAGTTTTACTGGAAACAAACAAAAATACCAACAAAAGATAGACCTTTTTAATCAAGCCAATGCATTTGAATATCCAATATTACTCTTCATAGTTGAGTTATGGTAGAATCTTGAACGAATAATGAAATTATATCTTCTAAGAACGCTAAAACAGAATCCAACAAATTACAACAATATTTTTTTCTCACTAAATAAACAAAAATCACAACAAAAGATAGACTTTTTAAATCAAACCAATACATTTAAACAAGATATTGAATTAAGATTGAAATTTTTTATATTAAATTATGTGTTATTCAAATGATGATGGTTTTAAAATATTATGTTATTTAATATGAAAACTGCTTAAAATAATTCAAAATAATGTAATCCCTTATTACTAATCAATGATATATAAATATTATATCAAATGTACTGTTATTCAAATTTTCACATTTATGTTAGGAAGTAATTTTGAAAGAGATTTCATATAAGTTTTTAATTGAAATAGATGCAAACAAATTACACATGATATGGTAGTTATCAACACTTATATAGTCGACTACCTCTCAAAATCAACTATTTTGTAGTTAAATTGTCGTCATCCAAGAGAATATTTGCAGCCTTGATATCGCGGTAAATGATTAGTATAGAAACAGTGGAATGAAGGTATATGAGAGTTCCAGAGGTTTATGTTGATGTCCCTAGACGGTGTCCCCATGTAAGAGAAAAATCAAATAACAAAACATTCAAGTGATTAAAAAGATTTTCTATTATTTGGTAATGAGCTCATAGACTAGTAATTATATTTTGACAGCAGTCTAAAAGTTTGACAACATTGTTGTGATTGATTTGTATCACGAGCACCTCGTTTATGAATAATAAATTGTTCTACTTGGCTAGACTCTCTAGGATGAGTCTTCTTTATGCCAACTATGTAGTTGTTTTTCGATATCCCTTTTTAGACCACTCCTTGGCAAACCATTATATTTATTGTTTATAAAGAACAAAGGTTAGAAGTGAATATGGTGATGAGATTAAGAGATTGAAACGTCACTTCTACATAAGGAGTAGAAGACAAGGTAGATAGAGAAAACAAATTAAGTTTTCTTGGATGAAACATAAAAGTTTTAGTAATTATTTGATTAATAAATAGTAAAACTAAACTTCTTAAACTTATAAAAATTGAAAATTTAAAGAAAGATATATGTCAACGTGTTAGGAATATCTCATCTTACTCTTATTTTGTCATCGTATATGCCACTATTTTCTTAAATTTAGTTTTTCTATACCACACATAGTAACTTAAAATCTTATAAAATTTAACAAGTAAATTTCACCAACTCACCAATAATATTTGATTATTTTGTTATTAAAATCATATAAATCAATAAAATATTTTAAATTAAAATAACTAAAATTAAAGTAATTAGACTCTCTTCAAATCTAATATCTACTAAATAAACTAAAATTCTTGGTCTAATACACCCGCCTTCAATCACCAACATCACTCTTCAAACTTGAGTTATGATGGAATTTTGAAAGAATAATGTAACTATATCTTTTGAGAACTCTAAAACTAAATTATGACAGACTACAAAAATAATTTATTCAAAAATAAACAAGATTCCCAACAAAATATAAAATATTTTAGAATCAATACATTTAAATCACCAACATCACCCTTCATATTTGAATTATGATAGAATCTCGAAAGAATAAGATAATTATATCTTTCAAGAACTCAAAACAAAATCCCGACATATGAAAATAACATTTTTATCGCAAAATAAACAAAAATTTCAATAGAAAATAAACTCTTTTAATCAAACAAATACATTAAAATCACCAACATCATTCTTCATAGTTGAGTTATGGTGAAATTTTAAAAGAATAATATAATTATATCTTTTATGAAATCTAAAACAAAATCTTAACATATTACAAAAACAATTTTATCAAAAACATAAACAAAAAAACTCTAAAGAAGATAAACTCTTTTAATTAAATTAATACATTGAAGTCACCAACATCACTTTTCATAGTTGAGTTATGATAAAATCTCTTAGGAATAATGGAATTATCTTCCGCTAACTCTAAAACAAATTTTCTATGTAGATTACAAAAACATTTTTATTACACAATAAAAAAAAATCCTAACAAAAACATTTTATCACACAATCTTTTGTTGGGATTTTGTTTATCTCTATAGTATTTTTTAAGTATATTTGTTAGCAGGTGAGTTAAATTGTAATTCGACAAATTTGGTATCCGATTCGGATATTGCATATTTAACATGGATCGGGTTATAAAAAATCGAATTCTTACACCGGATATTCCATATTTAACAATATAGATATTTAGAAGATTTGGTTAAGATTTAAAATTATGATTCTCCTATCATTTTTGTTTGATTTTTTTAACTGTTTTGAATCGACTAAAATGTTTAGATAATAATTCAGAATCATATTATAGATCAAAATGAGTCCAAATCCGAATACGGTTTAATTCAGTAGTTAGTTTAATATTTAATTTTACCAGAAATATTATATTTTAAATTTTAAATTTTGAAATTTTTTAAAATATTTTAATTGATATATCAACAGTCAATAAAAGGTTTATAATATTATGAACATTTAAGCAAAAAAATAATAAATAATAACACGGGACAAATTATATTGCGGGACAAGATTCTATGACGCGACGAGTTTTGAATTAACATTAATAAAAATATCAAAATATAATTAACCAGCCGCTTCAATACGGTTTAAATATTTAATTTATTATTTTTTAATACCACCAATATTAGACATATCAAATCTGTTTGATTTAAAAAAAATTGTATAAAACCAAAAATGTCTCGTGGTATATTGTTACATAATAACAGTTGTAAAGTATATAATTTAAATGTTTTATAAAATAGTACAATTAGCAAATTTTTATATATAATAAATAATCATTAAATTTTAAAATTCACAACTTTTTAGGAAACAAATCGTCTCACGCTGTACCGCGGATTAAAATCTAGTTGTGTAATAAAAATGTTTTTGTAATCTATAGAAATTTCACCTTTAATCAAACTAATATATTTAAATCACCAACATCACTCTTCATAGTCAAAACTCAGAACTAATCCATTCAACTTGTAGCTCACAGGCTAGTCTTTAAAGTTAATTCTACTGTTGGAAAAAAGGGAAAACCCTAGTATAAACCTACAAGTTGAAACATTTTCCCAACTATATAAAACCTCCAACTTTTTTTTTGTCCATATAAACATTCAAGTTGAAACACTTTTCCAACAAAAACTTTTAACGTTTTCGTTCCCATATAAATTTTTTAACTAATTAACTTTGTCTAAATAAACTTTCAAGTTGTCTAATTTGAGCTCAGCAGTAGTTTACTAATGGTCAATGATAATTTCGTTTATAGTAAACAGTCGACATATTTTTTTTCGCTTATTTAGTTTTCCAAATTTATATGTACCTTGAAAATTAGAAAAATGTATTCTAGGGTTCGTAGTTAAGCTTTTTATCTTTCCTATTGTGATTAACATGTGTGAATTTCAAAATCTATATAAACAGAAAACAAGTCGTTAAAAGCCGTTTACCATTACTCAACCATTGATCGGGCTCAGATTTGATGACTTGAAGGTTTCTTGAAGAAAAACTAATTAATTAAAGATTTTATTTGGAAACAAAAAAAATTAAGGTTTTAATTGGGCCGGAAAAATTTTCAATTTTGGAGGTTTTATATGAGAACTAAAAAAGTTGGAGGTTTTACTTGGGAAAATGTTTCAATTTGGAGTTTTTTTTTTCGGATTTTCCCAAAACAAATCTATGTAATTTTGATATGGACAAGTCTTTAAAATAACAGTAAAATGAGTTCTTGTTCCAAAAGTACCATCACTAGTTTTTTTTCTTCTCAAAAATACCACCAAATGATACTTTTTCAAAAATGCCCCAAAACTAAAACTAAACTTTGAACATTTCAAACTAAATCATAAACCCTAAACCAAAATTTTAAATTAAAAACCCTTAAAAGTCATTTTTAGTGTTTGTGGTGTTTTTGGACTAAAACATTTGTAGTGGTATTTTTGAAAGAAAATACTTTTAGAAAAAAAAACTTATTTAGTGGTTTTTAAGGTATTTCTTTTTCGTGAGATTTATAGTAGTAGTTACTTAATTTCTATAAATATTATTTACATTTATATGTTTACTTATTTATTTATTAGCTGATAAATAGAAAAATATATAAAGATATTTAAAAGTACAGATAATAACATAAACTAAAGTAAGGAAAATTTAAACTCAATTTAATAAAGAATAAAAAAACAGAGATTTATTTTAATAATAAAGAAATGAATTAAAAAAAAAAAAAAAGGAAAAGGTCCGGTTTTTAAGGTCACAAACGAAACTAGAATGCCCTAATATATATTGTGTTATTGAGTCCAAAGTCTCAAAGATCTGGCCAACATATGAGACTTTTCTTCTTCACTCTTTCCCTTTGTGTGATCTTTTTGGCTCTTGATCATCGTCTCCTCTGATCGATGGATGACGAATATATGAACTACGAGGAGGAGGATGAGAATTACTCGTTGGATGATGATGAGCAGGAGGATGAGAATTACAACGAGGCAGAAGTCGATGTGCAACACGTGACCTCGACAAAACCTACGAGCCAGGTGATCCCAAAAAAATCTCTAGTAGCAGCACAAAAAGAATGTCTGGTTAGGGTTATGGAATTGTTATCGGTTAAGGAGAACCAAGCTAGGACTCTTCTTATTTATTACCAATGGAACGTTGATAAGTTGTTCTCTGTGTATATTGATCAAGGCAAAGATCGTATGTTTTCTTGTGCTGGTCTTACTGTTTTTGACCCTTCTTTAGTTACTTCAAAGAAGACGATGAACTGTGATATCTGCATGGAAGATGATTTACCAAGTGATGTGATGACGAGAATGGAGTGTGGACATAGCTTTTGCAATGATTGTTGGAAAGAACATTTTACTGTGAGGATTAATGAAGGTGAAAGCAAAAGGATTCGATGTATGGCTCATAAATGTAACGCGATTTGCGATGAAGATGTTGTTAGGAAGCTAGTTAGTCCGGAATTAGCTGAGAAGTATGATCGTTTCCTTTTTGAATCGTATGTGGAAGATAACAATATGGTGAAGTGGTGTCCAAGTATACCGCATTGCGGGAGTGCGATACGAAAAATCGAAGATGATGACGACGTTGAGGTTGAATGTTCATGTGGACATCAGTTCTGTTTTAGTTGTCTGAGTGAGTCTCACTCTCCTTGCTCTTGTTTGATGTGGAAGCTATGGAAAAAGAAGTGTGAAGACGAGTCCGAGACGGTTAATTGGATAACGGTTAATACGAAGCTGTGTCCCAAATGTTGCAAACCTATTTCAAAACAAGATGGTTGCAATCTCATGACTTGTAAGTGTGGGCAGCATTTTTGTTGGCTGTGTGGTGAAGCTACTGGAGCAAGTCATACTGTGCAGAGTATTGCCGGTCATAGTTGTGGTCGGTACAAAGATGACAAAGTAAGGCAAATGGAGAGAGCCAAAAGGGATTTAGACAGGTATACGCATTACCATTACCGCTACAAAGCACATACCGATTCTTTAAAGCTCGAGGTTAAACTTAGGAAGAGTATCCTTGAGAAGGCAGTGTCAAATGCTGAAACCAAGGATCAACAAGTGTTTAAAGAATACAGCTGGGTTATAGATGCAGTCAACCGGTTATTCAGATCACGACGGATTCTTTCGTATTCTTATCCTTTCGCGTTCTATATGTTTGGTGAAGAGTTGTTCAAAGATGAGATGAGTGACGAAGAGAGAGAGATGAAGAAGAATCTGTTTGAAGATCAGCAGCAACAACTTGAAGGTAATGTTGAGAAACTTTCTAAGATTTTAGAAGAGCCTTTTGATGAGTATGATCATGAGAAAGTTGTGGATATGAAGAGACACCTCAACAATTTGAGTGTTGCGGTTGATACACTCTGCAAGAAAATGTATGAGTGCATTGAGAATGAATTACTAGGTCCAATACAATTTGGAATCCACAACATTGCACCTTACAGATCAAAGGGAATAGAACAAGCAACTGAGTTTTGTGCTGAAATATGCCAAACTTAGGATTGTGGTTCAAGCGGATCTTCGTAGAATAAGAAATTGTTTTAGTTATCGTAGTTTATCGTTTTTAGTAGCTTTTGTTTCATAAACATATTATGCAGCATAGAAGAGAAAAATATTTTGGTTATTTGCGTTATGGTTGGTTCTTGCTTGTCTCTTCTTCCTCTCATTCTTTGTTAGAAAGGTCATTTTTCTTGGCTTGTCAGCCATTTGGTGGTGCAACAGGCGGTGTGGAAAGTGGCGGGTGACTAACTTTGTAACAGAGCATTTGAATGATAGTCATCACTCTTGCAAGGCCAGTTCACATTATAGGGCAGGAGGTACAATGGTTAAAGGTCCCAACTCAAAGTCCAACAATAAAAAGGGTATGATGTTTTCATATTGGAAAAAAATTAAAATTACCCTAGTTAAAAAAAAATTATACAAATAATAGTGGTGGATTGGATCCGGATCCGAATTTTAACTATTCGAATCTTTGCCTTGTGGATATCCGACCTTTTGGGTATGTGATATCTAGATTTGGATCTCGATTCATTAAAATAAAAATAAAAATTAATAAAATAGTATGATAAAATTTTTATTTAAAGTTCTTAAAAATAAAATCTGATGTGTTATAAAAATGATATGTACAATTAACCTAGAATGTATTTTATAAAAAAACCATATAATATTTTCAAGAACATATTAAAAAGTACTATGAAGTAATTACGTTATATCTATGTATTCTTTATTTTAATAAATATTTACTTATTAAATAAAAAGTTTATTATTATTTTCCACGTTTTACATTTTTAGCAGAAGAAAAATAGAAAACATGTAAAGATATTAAAAACTACAGATAATAATAGAAATTTAAAATAAGGAAACCCTAAATTCAATAAGAAAAAAGGAGAGAAATTTACTTCAAATTAAAATAAGGAAAAGCAACTACACTGCCATAAGTTTTGCGGTATTGAGTCCAAAATTAATTCACAATTCTCTATACGATCTCGCCAGTGTATGAAACTTGTCGTCTCAACTTCAAGAAAACATACGATCTCTTCGCTCTTGATCGTCTCTTAATTGTTGTGATCTGATGGATGACGAATATATGAGCTTCGAGGAGGAGGAGGATGAGGATTATTGTTGCTCCTCGGATGATCATGATGATGAGGAGTATAACAACGCGGAAGAGTCCGTTTTGCAACAACCGAGAGAACCTACGAGCCAGGTGATCACGAAGGAAGCACTTGTAGCAGCGCAGAAGGAAGTTCTGGTTAGGGTTATGGAATTGTTATCGGTTAAGGAGAACCAAGCGAGGACTCTTCTTATTCATTATCAATGGAACGTTGATAAGTTGTTTTCTGTGTATATTGATCAAGGCAAAGATCTTTTGTTTTCTTGTGCTGGTCTTACTGTTTTTGACCCTTCCTTAGTTAAGTCGAAGAGGAAGAAGAAGGAGATGACGAGGAAGAGGAAGAAGAAGGAGGAGAAGACGAGGAAGAGGAAGAAGATGAAGAAGACGAAGAAGTGTGATATCTGCATGGAAGAGGATTTATCAAAATATGCCATGACAAGAATGGAGTGTGGTCATAGGTTTTGCAATGATTGTTGGAAGGAACATTTTACCGTGAGGATTAATGAAGGTGAGAGCAAAAAGATTAGATGTATGGCTTATAAATGCAACACAATTTGCGACGAAGATGTTGTTAGGCAACTAGTTAGCCCGGAGTTAGCTGAGAAGTTTGATCGTTTCCTCGTTGAGTCATACGTAGAAGATAACAATATGGTGAAGTGGTGTCCAAGCACACCGCATTGCGGGAATGCAATACGAAAAATCAAAGATAATAGCGATGACGAAGTAGAATGTTCATGTGGACTTCAGTTCTGTTTCAGTTGTCTGAGTGAGTCTCACTCTCCTTGCTCTTGTTTGATGTGGAAGCTATGGAAAAAGAAGTGTGTAGACGAGTCTGACACGGTTAATTGGATGACCGTTAACACGAGGCTGTGTCCCAAGTGTAGCAAACCTATTCAAAAGAGAGACGGTTGCAATCACATGACTTGTAAGTGTGGTCAGTTTTTTTGCTGGCTGTGTGGTCAAGCTACTGGAGCAGAACATAGTTTTAGGAGTATCGCTGGTCATAGTTGTGGTCGGTACAAAGATGATAAAGTGAGGCAAATGGAGAGAGCCAAAAGGGATTTAGACAGGTACACACATTACCATTACCGATACAAAGCGCACACCGATTCATTAAAGCTAGAGGATAAACTTAGGAAGAGTATCCTGAAGAAGGCACTGTTAAATTCTGAAACCAAGGATCAAGAAGAGTTTAAAGAATACAGTTGGGTTACAGATGCAGTCAACCGGTTATTCAGATCACGACGGATTCTTTCGTATTCATATCCTTTCGCGTTCTACATGTTTGGCGAAGAGTTGTTCAAAGATGAGATGAGCGATGAAGAGAGAGATATAAAGAAGAATCTGTTTGAAGATCAGCAGCAACAACTTGAAGGTAATATTGAGAAACTTTCCAAGATTTTAGAAGAGCCTTTTGATGAGTATGGTCATGAGGAAGTAATAAATATGAAGAGTCAACTAATCAAGATGTGTGCTTTGGTTGATACACTATGCAAGAAAATGTATGAGTGCATTGAAAATGACTTATTAGGTCCACTCGAATCTGGAATCCACAACATTGCACCTTACAGATCAATGGGAATAGAACAAGCTGCTAAATTTTCTGCTTCTTCGGCTTGTAGTTCAAGCGGATCTTCGTCGAATTAATTTTAATTATTTTTCTTGTTTTACTAGTTTTTTGTTTCATAAACAGATGATGCAGTAGAAAACTAATTTGGCTCTGTTCCTTCTTAATGCGATTGATTTTTTGTAGTTTCATAACCATTCCTTTCTTTGATAGTGAATCCATGAAGAAAGTAAATAAACAGTATGCAGTTCTTGTTTTGAAGAAACTAATTATTGTCCTAATTATCATTTATCATTTACCACTATCATTAGTAATTACCATGTGCTCTCTAGGAGTCTAGAGACTCACCAACAATGGGTTTTGTTTTGGTATGTATATGGGAAAGTCACAGAAAAGAGAAGATACTTTTAAATCCAAGAAAAGAATCAGAGACATTGGACTTACCTGCAAGTGTCGAGCAGAATCCTCTATCCTGCTCTAAGCTCGTGCCACTTCTCTTCACCATCGAGATATCAAAGGACAGAATTTCTGAAGGTGCATCAGATGTGATCCTTGGCTTTTTAGTAGCAGGACTAACCAATAATCCGTAAGCTCTATACGGACTTATCTCTGCGTTTCTTCCTTCTTGAGAAGAAATGGTTATGGGATCCTCGAGTTTTGATGTGGCGAGGACCGGGGAATTCTTGGACCTTTTCCTTATGTAGTTGAATATTGTTTCATCTGAGAATGGCCTTTCTGTTTCTGCCAGATTCATGGGAGATAACAGGTAAACTTTAAGCAAATGCTCTATAATGCAAAATAGAACTTCATAATGAGTGAAGAAGATTTCCGCACCAGTTTTCTCTGCAAAGCTTGCATAACCCGGCTTAGTAAGTTGTTGTGCGCTTTGTTTGACGTCTTTAGTATTTGTAGGTAAGTCAAAGACAGAATCATACTGAAATAGAGGATCCAGTTCAGGAGAATTCTCCACTAAGCTTTTCCTTTTCAGAATTGACTTTCCTGATCCTGGAGAGGTGGTTGGATTCAAAGTGTTCAATGAAGGAAAACACTTTGCTTTTTCACGTATGTGGTCAAAGACTGTATGTTCATTGATAATGACACAGTCATCTTCGTCCATCATCACATAGGGCTCTTTCTCTGCAAAGAATTTGGGTTTAGAAAAATGGTGAATGCATTACAAAGCACACAAAAGAAAAAGCTTGTGACAGATTTATGTTTGTATTGAGCATCTAACCTTCTTCTGAATCCTCATCTATGAGTTTGAAACTAGGCCTGAAGAAGGAAATTGAGCAGTTGAAGAGAAAGTTAATCATGAAGAACTTATGTATTTATGGGACTGAGAAGAAATGTACTCACATATCATCTTTTTTATCCTTTCGGTTTGAAGGTCCAGATGTAACTGGGTTGTCATCTACTACGCAGGCATCCGCCATAGGAGGATAATAGTGAGGCAGCCTGTTTTCGGTTTTGTAATTTATTTTGTTGTTGTTTTCCCTCTTCAGTAGAAGTGTTTCATGGAGGTCAATACCAACTACAACAACAACAGCCCAGAAATAACACACTTGGTTAGTGTCTCACTTACTACATGGTCATCAAGTTTTGCTACCAAACCAGAGGTGTTATTTAGAAGACTTAACTGTATTCTTCGAAGATGAGATCAGCCTTCACAGTCACCTTTGCTTGTTGATGAGGCCTTTCCAGGAGTATGGTTACGTTATACGGACTAAAAGAAGGCAACCAAGAAGAATGAAGTATTGCAAATCTTAAATAAAGTTAAAACGAAGATTTGCATCGGGATAATGATGATAGAGTGACGGACAGGTAAACATACCTGGAGAAGTCCTCCATTCTGCTGCCATTAAAATATCACTGATTAGTTACATTTAACTTGAATGTCTAAAAGAGGGTTATGTGAAACACACGAATGTTGTAATAGAAGAAATTATGGTTTATCGTTGGTTACGTGCTCATCACCTTATTTTCTCATGAAAGTGAATACGATTCTCTTCCTCTGAACCAACAATCTGCCAGAAAAAGGATACAGATTAGTAGCTTATCTAGTTATCTTTTGTTCATGAGCGAAACACAAGACTATGCAGAGAAATGGAGATGCAGGTAGTAGAGTTAAGAGTATAAATGTAGAAAGTTAAGGAAACTAACCATGTCAGCATAATGGCGTTTTGTGGATTGGAGAGGTTGTGATAGCCGTGTCAATGTGACTGCTAATTTAGTTATCCCTTGCTTCTGGCAGTCAACTTCCTGGACCTTGATTTCAACTTTTGGAGGTAGGGATGATAGAGACTCCTTGATGGTATTTCCGAAAGGATATTTTCGACCGGTAACAATCTCTATCCTTCGTGGATCAGCTTCAGAAAGAGCTTCAAATGACCTGACTCCCATTGAATGAAGTGCCTAGAAATAGAATGTATCCAGAAAAATGTTACCAAGAAAAAACCGAAGCATTCGGAAAACATAAGGTGCAGTTAACATGCTTATAACGAGCAGACATAGATTAAAACCTTTGCAGTAACCATTCCAATGCCAGGCAATTGTTTCAGCAAATATGGACTGTCGTCCCACAGCTTTTGATAGAGTGATTTTGCCAGAAGAGTTGAGCTAATCGTTCCTTTATAATTCTTTTTGTATATAAAGTACTCTTTCATGCATCTCGCTATTCTGGATCCATTCGAGCAAATAGAGTTAGCATCCTGAGACAAAAGTGACAATGTTCATATGAAGAGCTAAAAAGTAACCGTGATCAAGAGATAGAAGGAGTCAGGAATATAAGATTGGTGGACCTGAGTCATGGATAAATCATGGACTGAAGGATCCCCAGTCAACCAATCATTTGCAAGCACAAATAGTTTCTCTTCTCTGGTTTGGATGCGTTTTTTCCGCTTTCTTTTATTATCGTTGATGTGGAATCTGAGCCGCCCTTCTTTATCTGCATTTACATCATTTAAGGTCTTCTTCTCATTGCGTCTGAGCTGTATCCCTTCATTTTTCAAGTTAAACAAATTAGTATATTCATCAGGTAAAAAAGACTATGTACCCAAGCACATTTGACATACAAGATATCTCTTCCGCACGACACACAATATGAAGAGCCTCATCCAAGCTATAGCCCGTTGGCGCATTAATAATGTACTTCATTGTGTCAAACTTTAGATAATACTTTGTCATCAGCCTTCCGGGCTCTACACAAAAGAACGAGTGTGCATTATAATTTGAAATTGAAGATATGAAACCATAATATTCAATACCTTCTGGTTTCAAAACAAAACCATCTGTGTCAGTCCAGATCATCTGATATTGTGAAAGCTCATTGATCTTCTGAAGGCAAAGCTCTGGTAGGACACAGGACTAATGAGAACTCCAAAAAGGAAAAATGAGTAAACTAACTAAGTCAGTAAGGAACCTTGCAAATGCTTCTCTACTTGATCTTTCGGAATTCCTTTCTTAATAGCATAATTCTCTGGATTCTGTCCATACGAACTAAGTTAGCACTTAGCTATACCATTTATGATAATAAACAAGTTCTCCGAAAATTCATTGAGAGAGCATATGAACGTACCTTTTTCATTCTGACATACAGGTATGAGCACTTCATCCACTCAATTGCCCGTGTAATGTCAGAGATAGTAAGTTGAACTATTTCTGCGGTTAGGTGCTCTATTAAGCATGGCAGCAATCTGGAACAAAATAAACAGAAGAATATTTCTTGAAGCCAACATAGCTATTAAAGAATGTTAAAGAAAGCAAATGGTTCCAAAAAGGAAGTTTATTGGGCAATACTTACTGTGATTCAACAACCTCACATCCATTCAAGAGATTCTCATACAGATGGACCTGTAATCGTTTAATAAATTACAAGCAGAGAACATAAGAGAAAAGTACAATTAAAATAAGAGATTCAGCCACATAGATAAGTTTCAGTAAACAACCGTCTCTCTTCTGGTCATAATAATAACCATTCCCGTGTCATCAAATGGAGGCCGACCAGCCCTGCCACACATCTAGAAAAGAGAGATTACTTATCTTGCTGGCAATATATTTAGAGCACATTTCAGTAGCTTGTGCAGATAATCAGACTGCAAAATAACATTAAAAAACTACACATGCTCAAATAATTTACCTGTAGTAGTGTGGAACGATCATATTCCATGTAGTGACCTTTTTCCTTGTTGCTAAAAGGAATACCAATGTCAGTAGATTACTGGATATTAATTTAAATTCCAAATAACTACTTAATGGATATATCTACTCAAAGACGTACAAATGTTGAGTTGATTTTATGACGACTGTATGTGCAGGCAGGTTGATTCCATGGGCAAGAGTGTTGGTCGTGCAGATAACTTGGATATCTCCATTAAGGAAGAGCCCTTCTACGAGGCTGCGGTCCTTTTGGCAAAGTCCACCATTGTGATAACCAACTAATTGGGACATTTTGGTACTATTCAGCTTGGAGACAATGCTGAAGCAGAGGTACAATCAACAAACTTAGAAGAGTGAAACAGACCGTACCGCCTTGGAGGATATATGATTGCATTTGTTTGTCACTGCACATTGGCGAAGCCTCCCTTAATCTTTCCAGCTGTTCTCTGCTTTTAATAAATGGATTTGAGTAACCATAGGTCATTGCAGTCTGAGCAAGCTTTTGTGCAGCCTCTTGAGCGCCTTTTCGTGTCGAGCAGAAAACTAAGGCAGATTTTCCTTTTGAGTATTGCATTAAAATGTCTGAAAATTCAAAGATTTCCTCAGCAGCGTAGTATAAGTTACAACCTAAGCAAGACAGCAATAACGGAAGAATATAATGATAAGAGAAGCTTACCATAAATATAGTTTTGAAGGCGCTGGATATGAGAAAATAAAGAAAAACAAGAGTTGGTTTAGTTTCTGTCGTGGAATATTTGACAAGAGAGGCTAAGGCTATCTAAATCCAAGATGCAGAAACTGTATACCTTTTCAAAGAGGAAGTCATTCTTGGCAGCAGCATAACCTGTACAAAAAAGACAGTAAACATTTTCTTTCAATTCATGAAAACAGGAAAGTCATCAACAGCTAACCAAATTCATCATCTTAACATTTAACCAATCAAAAAAACAAAAAAATTGACTTTTGAGATGCGACCAGTACCAAAAACTTTAGTTGTCAACTTAACAGGTCTCATTTCTTCGCCAAACCTGTAAAACATGGGAAGGGAAACAATGATGAAACTGAAAAAATTTACCCAAATAAGGACATAGGAACCATAAGTTACCTCTTAATTCCTGCAGTAGGAACCTTGAGCCATTCAGCTGCAATAATTAAACAAGTATTACCACTTTATCTGTTTTGAAGCAAGCTTTTTTTTATTTTTTACTTCGAAGCAAAGTTAACAAAGCAAAAAAAGGTCATACAATTTGCAGATTATGACTAGAATTGTGAGCTACATCTTACCTAAATCCTCAATGTTTGGGATAGTAGCTGAGACAGCCAGAAGACGCACGGAGGCTAGAGGACTTGACCTTAGTTCATGATTGCTAGAAAGAATCTTTATTCTACTGACTATTGCCTCAAGAGCAGCTCCACGCGGATCATTCAGTAGGTGAACTTCATCAATGAGCACAAGCGCAATATCACTGAAGAAACCTAAGCCTCCACTGGTAACGCGATAACGGCTCACTGCATCAAATTTCTGCAGGAAAACATGTAAACTACAGTGATCCACTAGAGGAGATACATGCATGTACTTCATATAAACACAGAATGAAATATCAGAGATTGCTTGTGTTCTGGCTAGGAGCATAAGGGGAATCAGAAGCAGTAAAGAAGTTCCAGACAGTAAATACAGACAACAAAGAGAAAATACTATCTGACCTCAGGTGTAGTCAAGATTATATCTGCGTCTTGTATATTCCTTGTGCTGTAGTTTTCATTATCACCTGTCAGCTCCAAACAACTGATTCCCCATGAATTAAACTTTTGATTCCAATCACGCAGCTTCTCCTGAACTAAAGCCTTGGACGGAGATATGTAAACCTTGACACCAAAAGGTAGAAGAAGCCTAATTAAACTTCTAGGTAGCAGCAAGTCCAGTATTGGCATATTTATTGTAAAAACGAAGGCATCAAGCAGACATTCAGAAAAGTGATCAAAAGCTTACTGTTTTAAGAGCTCCTTTAGCATGGAGAAACATTCCTTCCTTAGATATGGACTTGGAGAGGAGCCTTAAAATGCATAGCTCAAAAAGTACGGTTTTACCACTTCCCGTTGGCGCTGAAATAACCATGTTGATATCGGAGTGGAAGCACAGTGGAAAACACTCGCTCTGCAACGAGTTGAAGTATCTGAACACAAACGATCCAGAAGCAACACAAAGCAAAGTTTGGATTAATGAACCAAAGAATAAATTATCATTATGTTCCAAAAGATAACATCTATGCAACCAAACCATTCCTTAAGTAAGCAAAATACAATATCTGAAGCAAGCAATAGATTAACAACACGATCATGACCAAAAGATGAAAACAAAATCTCAAGTTTAAAGAGAGATATTACCTGAAACTAAAAGCTGAACGGAAATTTCCAGGCAAATCCGAGACAGATTTTAGCGTGTGTGTATCCATGACCAATGCTAATTGGATGACTTCTACAAATTTCAATAGCGTGAAAATCAGAATCCTAAATCTCCGATAGCAATCACTTCATAAATCTATCCGTACAACATAATTCAATCCGAGATCTGCTCCGATCACCGATTGAAATCTCAAAATTAACATAGAAAAAGATTACGATAGAGAAATTTCAGAGAAAACGAGTGAGAAACTGAACAAGTCGGAACTCGCAAAGTACTCCATTGAAACCGATCACGAATCAAGCAAATACAATTGCAAAATTGAACAGAGAATCGAAAATCTCACCGTTAAATCACCATGAAAAAGCTTGCGCGAGACAAAACTTGAAGAGCAACGATCTCTCAGAGAGATGGAGAGGGAGTGATGAGAGAGTGGAATTCAAATTCAGGGGCCGTTGTTGTGAAGAAGAGCAAGTAGTTAATGGCCGAAAACGCTGCGTCCCAAAAAAAAGAAAACGTCACGCAGTTTGGAACTATTTGAAAATTAAAATTAAAAATCCCAAAAACAAAAACGTCACGCAGTTTGGGTCAGGTGATACAAAAGTCAAAAGGGAACAAGTTTTTGTTGGATGTAGCCAATATGTACATTGCAAATTAGAATGATAAAACATTAAAACTTAGTGGTGTTTATTCCGGTTTTGCTACATATTTTTTTTTCCTTTTTCATAACTTTTGTTTATAAAGAATTGTATTCAAAGTAAATTCGAATTTCTATAGATGATCTATATATACATTTTCTAAGTATAAATATAAAATAAATCATGGAGTTGACACTTATTTACAAGAGAATGCCATTCATAAATATTTATCTATTAATTAATATTACAAATTATTTTTGAAAAAATCTTTTAGAAAACGTGGCTTCCAAAGATGGTAACAAATTAATTTTATTTCTAAATTCGAACAAACACAACATCACGGCTAACTTCTATTTTAACTGAATCCCTTCTTCTACACTATGTTTTATTTTTTCTCACGATGAACGAAAATCATAATCATCAGAGTTAAACTTGCATATTACATAACAAAATTGTCAAAAAAGAAAAAAGAAATGTTTTTGTTTTACAATTTGCCATGCTCGAAAAAGCAACGAATTTTTTAGATTTTTAAAATACCTTTACACATATTTTCGATGCTTTTTTTTTTGTCGTCAAAAAGTTGTATTAAAATAGTAACATATTCGTGCACCAAATAAAACAGAGCATTAAAAGCCTCACAAAACAGAGCAACATTGCTCAATAGGAGAAAGAAATTAAACTTGCAAAATTGTAAACTGATGAAGCTTTATCTTCGCTTATCTTCTTCTATACGCGAATGCAGCCATGCCGGACCTCCAGTGGCAAGGTATGATCTGAGACGTCCATCGCAAGTAACACTCTTAGCAATATCTCTTGCAATTGAATTCGCTTTTGGAGATGCAAGGTTAAAGAACACTTTACGAAAACCCGGAATAAGGCGAGAAATCTTATCAAGGTAAGAATGGTACCGGGGCCAATTAAGTGGATCTGTAACCGCTTCAATCGCAGCCGCACAATCAGACCAAATCTCAATGTCCTTGAAATGTAAGTCTTGTAAACTTTGAAGTGCCCACAAAAAGCATCTTAGCTCTGAAGCTATTCGATTAGAAGTGGGTAGAAAAGCTTCTCTCGCATGAAAGACAACATCGCCATTGTGATTTCGTACGATCCATGATCCACCACACATACTCATTTCATTACTCCAGGATGCATGAACATTGCATTTAAACACATTAAGTGGAGGTTTCAACCATCTTACTTCAGCTCGAGGGGGACGATGGACTTGAAAATGAGGACCAGACGGCTCTAGCATTAGCTTATTCCATATCTTTGATTCCTCTATAGCATGGTCAACAAGGACGTTCAGGTCACGCTGTTTTCCTGCGTGAACAACTTCATTCCTATGTTTCCAAATACGAAAACGGTATTTTTCAACCTCAACTATTTGCTGGCGGGTTTTTCCAACCCAAACTATGACCCCCAGTCGATTTCAACCCAAACCCAAAAATAATTCAAAATCGAAACCTGAACTAATGCAAATCAGCCGATTTCAACACGACGCGAAACCGTATTAGTTCGGAAGTTAACGGTTGCTCAACCTTGGGTAATTCTCTCTCTACAACATTCAGCAAACCCTGAAAAAAACACTACAAGAAATTAAAGTATTGATAGCAATAGAATATAGCGTTCCATGCCTTTTTGCTATAGTTGACATATCTCTCAGTTTTAGATAGCGTTTGTCAAAATACAAACGCTATGTTTGGATTCTCGGATTTTAGTTTCGAGAATGTTTTATTGAGCTGTATTATATATAGCACTAGTATGTTTAAAACGCTATGCATATTTAGACGCAGAAAAGAGAATTCATTTATCTCAAAAGAAAATGAAGCGGTTAATAAATTTTCATTCTCCCTCTCATATGAAGCGACATTTGACCTAAAATTATTTAGTTTTTTTCTATGTTCTCTCTTGCTCCTCCTTCCGTCTTCTTCTTCATCTCCTTTCAACTCTCTCTCTCTTTATCCCCTTCTTTCTCTCCATGCCTGAACTCATCGTGTCTCAAAAACCTCAATCCTTCTCTACTACCACAGCAGCCGTTTCCATGTTCTTAAGCCTTTAAAATATGTATATGAGTTCGCCGTAGGAAGCTTCTCTCCTATTCCCGATGCCCAAGATAGCCGCCACCACTGCCTGGAACTCTACTCCGCCTGATCCGCCAGATTTGTGCGTGTTTCCCTCTCAGCTTTAGATGTTGATTGCTCTACAGATCCAGCGGACCCTCCAGATTCACCGCGACTCTCTCCAGTCCCTCTATGTTTCTCTGTCTTTGTCACTAATGAATCGTTATTTAGCTATTTAGGGTTTTGTGACGACTCTTATTTTTCTGGGTTGCATTAACTAGATCGATTCTGGGAAATTTCTTAGCTCCATCATCCAATTTCATAAATTTGTATGCATCTCCGTTTATTAGTCACCGAATTTTAATTTATGAGTTTTTTGTTTGTTTCTTGCTAGAGTTTTGCTTTTAGGTTCATAAATTTTGCTTCTTTATGTTTACTTGCTCCATCGAAGGTATATATTTCCTGTAATTCGTTTCTAGAAATTGGGGATATTTAAGTTTTAAGGTTTGGTGTCTCTGTTTTAAGTACTGTGTAATCTTCGAGTCTGGATTAAGACTTGTGTGATTATTACTACTTCGTGCTCATACTCATGTTCTTGGAACCTTTTAACTATAATTAATTTGGTTTCAGTTTAGTTTTAATTATTTTCCATGTGTTTAGCTGTTGAAGCTTATTAAGGTGTAGAAATAAGAAAGCTACTCTTGTTTTCTCTCTATTGTTGTTTCTTGCAGATGGTGTATGTGGTTGTTTTAACCAAGAAAAAGATGGAGATGTAAATCCCAGGTTTGTTTTAGAGATCTTTATTGAATAGACAATGGAAGGCTCTCACATCTGAATCAATTTCAGTTTCTTGATATGTTTTTATTTGACTTTGGTAGGGCTTAGAGACTTCTCACCTCAACAAATCACTGATACCCATAGAAAAGTAACGTCCTCAAAAACAAAGAGAAACAAGTAAGTGTTTTAGGTGCAAAATACACACTCAGTCACTCATATTTCAGAAAAAAAAATCAAGATTGAGACCTATTTTAAATTCTTACCTATTTTGTTCAGGAGCTGCATCAATATTCAAGACCAAGATACGGAGGAGCCAATTCAAAGAGGAAGCACTTGGGTGATTCACACTCTCTTGTTTGATCTGTTTTGGGTATATACACACTCTCTTGACGTCGATGGCTGTTCTTAGCTGTTTTGTTTCTGTTTTTGATTTTATCCTTGTCCATATGTGATGAATTGGTTTTACAGGATGCGTTTTATGCAATGGTGATGTGCCGTGTTGTAGTCAACTGGAGTTGGAGGAATCAAGATTGTGAATACGCCTTGGTGAATATATGTATCTTTAGAAGTTTCTAAAGTAGAAAAAAATTGTGATATGTATTGTTGTTCTTCATTAAATACAAATCTTTTTGGTCTCTTAATAAAAATTATTATTATTATTATTATTATTGATTGTTTTGGGTGTTTATAAATTAAATTAGAGCTCCTATTAATAAAATTCAAAATGCAAAATTCAAATCCACATATTATGAATAATAGATTTGATAACAAAATTGAAATGTTATTGTAGAGTATACTATAGCAGAGATAAATCCGCTATTAATATTTTAATTTAGATAGCACATACAAAAAGCGCTATCTAAAGTCGCTGACCTATTGTCGCGGTCGATGATATAGCGTTTCTAAATACGCTACTCTAGCGATAAATAGCGTTTTTTGGACGTTATCAATTCCTGATTTTCCTGTAGTGAAAAAATCAAATAACATTGAGAAATGTTAACTTCCGAACTAACATTGTTTCACGTCGTGTTGAAATCGGCTCATTTTCATTAGTTCAGGTTTTGATTTTGAATTATTTTTGGGTTTGGGTTGAAATCGACTGGGGGTCATAGTTTGGGTTGGAAAAACCCGCCGACAAATTGTTGAGGTTGAAAAATGCCGTTTTCCCCCCCAAAGCAACCAAGGAATTGCCAAAGAGAAATGAGAAATTATCATGTAAGCACTCTGTAAACCCATGGATAGGCAAAGGAATATTGGAAATCTCCCACACAGTACGAGCTGGATCACACAGAAATAAGACATGGCTCAACGATTCAATATCGTTATGACAGAGTGAACATTGCATAGCGGGATTTAAGCCATGAGCTGACAAACATTCCGCGATTCCCACTGCACCAGATAACACTCTCCATAAAAACAGCTTGATCTTTGGAATAGTTTTCAGGTCCCATACCTTATCTTTAAGCAAACGTGATGTCTGTTCTTGTGATGATAATAATGAGCTCTTTCACTTTAAAGAATATAACAACCAGCTTCCACTTTTCACCGAGTAGCACCCAGTTCGTGTATAAGCCCAAATATATTTATCAGCAGAAACTGTGCTCGGTGGAGAAGACATCACACGTACCACATCCGGCGGAAAAAACAAATCAGATATTAAACTTTGGTTCCAAGAGCCTTGAGAGGTAATAAAGTTTGAAACTCTTAAGTCTAAATCTATTAGAGTCTGTTTGTTAAAAGGTCGCCATGGAGCTTTATCAAAAATCCATTTCTCAGTCCAAACATTTGTTGATTGTCCATTACCTATGACTTTCATGAGACCTTTCTCTAATAATTCTCGACCATGGAGAATGCTACGCCAAGCGTAAGACGGTCTAGAACCCGTAGTCGCAAGTAAAAAATCCCACTGATTATTTTTTTTTGGTAAGGAACAGGGAGTTAAACCTCCTTGTATTTTATTAACGAAACTAGAAAAGAAAATTACAAACGGACATGCCTTGGAAACGCAGTTCCGCGGACATCATCCTCGACAAACGTCTCCACAAAAGGTGGGGAAAAATCAAAAGCATGAAAGCCTAAAGGCAAAGTAAAAGCATAGTTGGCCAACCCATCTGCAAGACGATTAGCTTCCCTATAAACGTGCGATATACGGACTATCCAGTCCCTAGAGATAAAGCCGTGGCACAAGCGTACTAGGAAGGAAAGGGGATGCGAATCATTAATCCCTGTCTGTAAGAACCCCACTACCAACTCCGAATCCACCTCCAACTCTAACCATCTAACCCGCTTCTCCCAAGCAATATAGAGACCATAGTATACACCCCATAACTCCGCGAGTGGAGCCGTGCATACACCAATATTAAGTGCAAACCCTCTCACCCAACGGCCAGCACCGTCCCGCAGGACCCCTCCTGCCGTGGCTATCCCAGGATTACCCCGAGAGGCACCATCTGTGTTCAGTTTCAACCACTCCCCCACCGGCGGTTTCCAGGAAATCATTCTTTCAACCTTCTCCCTCGTGTCTCTCTTCTCGCGAGTCAAACGATCAGCTCTGCCTACTTCCGCCGCAAGATCTTTGACAAATTTGACTCTATCTCTGCATTTCCCAATCTCCCCAAAAATATATCCACATCTCCACTTCCAGCCCCACCAAGCTCCCAAAGAGAATAAAGTGGACCATGTATCCTCCGTACCAGTTCGATCAGGCTGCAAATTTCTATATAGCCACTCAAGGACTGATGTATTCCAGAAGTATTGGCGCCGTCTAGCCAGCACAATCCTGCGCCAAATACCTGCAATAGATGGACAGTCCCGAAGGCCATGTAAAATTGTTTCTTCCCCGCCTTTACATACTTGACATACGCTTGTATCCCCGAGATGTCGTCGATGTCTTTCAACATTAGTCATAATAGCTTGATGCCCGACTAGCCAAAGAAATGTTTTCACTCTCTCCGGCGTTATGATCCGCCACACTCGTTCAAAAAAGCAAGACAAGTCCGGTCGCGGGTCGCCATTTCTTGTCAAGAGCTCATATGCTGACCTAACCGTGAAGACCCCATCTGCAGTCTCTCCCCACGTCAATCTGTCTCTAGCTCCCGTAACATTATCAATAACCAACGCCGTCAATTCCAATCGCGTATACTGAGAAACATATGGCATTATTCTATCCAGAACCCAGCCCGTGCCATCCCGCCAAAGCTCCTTAACTCGCAGCTCATGTTGGTCAGTAGGTAGCGCTGTAGTGGTTCTCTCTATTAATGGCTCATTAGACAACCACTTATCAGTCCAAAAATGAGCTTCTCGTCCGTCGCCAACTACCCATCTACTCCCGCGGGTCACCACTTCTTTCAGACCTCTGGCCACACTCCTCCAAGTAGATGAACCCAGTCTCTTCGCATCTATCCAAGTTCGGTCCTGCAGCCCTCCAACTTTATACTTGCTACGCAAGACTCTTGCCCAAAGACTTGTATGATTATGGACTAGTCTCCATCCCACTTTCGATACCAGTGCTTTATTCATATCCTTAGAGCGCCTAATCCCGAGACCGCCTTCTTTTTTTGGCTGACATACCTTATCCCAAGCAACCAAATGTTGTTTTCTTTTTTCCGGTGTACTCCCCCACAAGAACGATCGAGAAACCTTATCCAACCCATCAAGAATTGACTTGGATAGCGATATAACTGACATCGTATGTACCGAAATGGAGCTTAGGACCGACTTTGTCAACGTAAGTCTCCCCGCAAAGCTTAAAGTCCCACCTTTCCACCCCGCAAGCCGTGACGAGACTCTCTCAAGTACTTCCCCAAACGTTTCTTTATTTATCCTCTTTTGTAAAACCGACATTCCCAAATACTTCCCCAACTCTTTGGTTGCCTTGATCCCACTCTCATCGCTAATCATTTTCTCCAAGTCCCGGGAGACATTGTTAGAGAAAAATATTTTCGATTTCTCTAGACTTACTTTCTGGCCTGAGGACACGCAAAAAGACTCCAATATTTTACGTATAACCCGAACCTGAGCAACTGATGCCTCCGCAAACAAGATAAGATCGTCGGCGAAACAAATATGAGAAAGTTTCGGACCCCCTTGTGATAAGCAAATCGGCTTCCACTCCTTTGCAGCTATCGATCTATCGATCATATGACATAATCTTTCAAGACACAGGACAAAGAGATAAGGAGAAAGTGGGTCTCCCTGTCGCAGCCCTCGAGATGGCTTGAATGATTCCGTCTTTTCACCATTCCATAAAATCGTCATTGATGGGGCAACAACACACTGTAAAATCCATTGTACCCATCTCTCCTCAAATCCCGCAGCTCGTAAAGTCTCCTCTAGAAAATCCCACCGAATTCGGTCATACGCTTTTTCCAAATCCAACTTAAGAAGCATCCAACCCTTTCTTCCTTTTTTCCTCCTCATCGAATGGACTGCTTCTTGGACAACCACGATACGAGCTGGATCACACAGAAATAAGACATGGCTCAACGATTCAATATCGTTATGACAGAGTGAACATTGCATAGCGGGATTTAAGCCATGAGCTGACAAACATTCCGCGATTCCCACTACACCAGATAACAGTCTCCATAAAAACAGCTTGATCTTTGGAATAGTTTTCAGGTCCCATACCTTATCTTTAAGCAAACGTGATGTCTGTTCTTGTGATGATAATAGTGAGCTCTTTCTCTTTAAAGAATATAACAACCAGCTTCCACTTTTCACCGAGTAGCACCCAGTTCATGTATAAGCCCAAATATATTTATCAGCAGAAACTGTGCTCAGTGGAGAAGACATCACACGTACCACATCCGGCGGAAAAAACAAATCAGATATTAAACTTTGGTTCCAAGAGCCTTGAGAGGTAATAAAGTTTGAAACTCTTAAGTCTAAATCTATTAGAGTCCGTTTGTTAAAGGGTCGCCGTGGAGCTTTATCAAAAATCCATTTCTCAGTCCAAACATTCGTTGATTGTCCATTACCTATGACTTTCATGAGACCTTTCTCTAATAATTCTCGACCATGGAGAATGCTACGCCAAGCGTAAGACGGTCTAGAACCCGTAGTCGCAAGTGAAAAATCCCGCTGATTATAATACCTTGCTTTAAACACTCGGCTCAATAATACCTTGCTTTAAACACTCGGCTAAAGAGGAAGGTTACCGCTGATTTTCGATGGTTTATTCTATTTTTATCATAAACAAAGGGCAACAAAAGTCAAAAGTAAAGATACTGTAATAATAACGAGTTAATTTCAAAAAACAGCTATCGACCCAACCCTAATAAAAAACCTTGACGCCGTTTTCTTCCTTCTTCGTTCTTCTTCTTCCTCCTGAGAAAACAACATGGCCATGGCAACAAGGACTCCAGGCTTTGTTTTGCCTACGAGCTTATCTTCCCAGCCTCCCTTCGACCGTCGCGGCGGTGGATTTAGGGTTTCGGTCATCCGATGCTCCTCTTCTCCATTCACTTTTCCCACTTCTGGTAAATTTGCTTTCACTTCCTTCATTTCGTATTGTCTCCATTTGGGTTATAGTTGTTGAATAAAGGATAAAGCTTGGATTTTTCGTTTGATGGAGAAAGTCTCTGCCTTTAGAATTAGTGCCAAAAGTCTTGATTTTTGCACATTGTAGGTGATGTGGAGAAACCTTGGACTTCGTACAATGCTAGGCTTGTGTTAGAAGATGGTTCTATCTGGCCGGCTAAGTCCTTTGGTGCTCCTGGAACTCGTATTGCCGAATTGGTGTTTAACACTTCCTTAACAGGGTATGTTTTGTTGTTTAACATTTTCCAGTTCTGTCTCAAAGATTGTTAATTTGAGCTTAACGAATATTCCGATTTGTGTAGGTATCAGGAAATTCTAACCGATCCTAGTTACGCCGGGCAATTTGTGCTAATGACAAACCCACAAATTGGTAACACTGGTGTGAATCCCGGTAAGTGGCAATGTCGAATTTGAAGTTTCTGATACACCGTAAACTTATGTTCTTAATGTTTCTTATTATATTTGTATTGTTTGGTTTTAGATGATGAAGAGTCTGGGCAATGCTTTCTTACTGGTTTGGTGATAAGAAATCTAAGCATCAGGTAACTGTTCATATTGATTGCACTGGAAGAAGCATTTTTCTTTGGGGTGTCTTCCATTATCCTCCATTTTAACTTTTGAATGGCAAAATTTTCAGTACCTCAAACTGGAGATGCACGAAAACACTTGCTGACTATCTAACCGAAAGGAATATCATGGGAGTTTGTAAGTTCCTTGTGTTCACGATACTATTTAGATTCTACATGTTATATAATTGGGTTTGAAAGCATCTCTGATTGCTCTATTTGGGGATGTTTTTGTAAACACTATCAGATGATCTTGACACTCGAGCAATTACCCGTCGGTTAAGAGAAGATGGTAGTCTTATCGGGGTGTTGAGCACAGAACAGTCCAAAACAGATGACGAACTTCTGCAAATGTCTCGTTCATGGGATATTGTAGGTCAGAATTCTCTTACTGTTCCTTTTTTTTTTTTTGCATTATGATATAACCCCTTGGAATATTGAACTCCTTCTGTCTGCTTGTTTGAATCTTGTAGGTATTGATCTAATAAGTGACGTATCATGTAAATCTCCTTATGAATGGGTTGACAAAACAAACCCTGAATGGGATTTCAACACGAATTCACGCGATGGGAAATCCTACAAAGTGAGTATTACTTCTCTACATCTTCTCTTATCGATGCTCAGCACCAACTTCTTACTCTCTTTCTATACTTTTCTCTTGAATTCAAAGGTTATCGCTTACGATTTTGGAATCAAGCAAAACATCCTAAGACGCCTATCATCTTACGGATGTCAAATCACTGTTGTTCCGTCGACATGGCCAGCTTCCGAGGCACTGAAAATGAATCCAGATGGGATTTTGTTCAGCAACGGTCCTGGAGACCCTTCTGCTGTGCCATATGCTGTTGAGACAGTTAAAGAGCTTCTCGGTAAAGTCCCTGTTTACGGAATCTGTATGGGTCATCAGTTGCTCGGCCAAGCTTTGGGTGGTAAAACCTTCAAGATGAAGTTTGGTCATCACGGAGGAAACCACCCAGTTCGGAACAACAGAACTGGCCAGGTGGAGATCAGTGCTCAGGTATAGTCCCTTTCATCTTATTCTTTTTAGCTTTACCAATACTCAACCCCAAAATGTTCCATTTTTACTTTACTTACACACGAATATTTTAGATTCCAAGCACGCTATCAACTTAGGATTTGAACTTTTAACATTCAAATTTTGGAACATTGTTACAAGTTTGACAAAATCTAAAAATATGGTGTATCATTTGTCTTTGTCTGTAATTCTTGGCAGAACCACAACTACGCAGTTGACCCGGCTTCACTTCCCGGAGGCGTAGAAGTAACACATGTCAATCTGAATGATGGAAGCTGTGCGGGTCTATCTTTCCCGGCAATGAATGTCATGTCTCTCCAATACCACCCTGAAGCCTCCCCTGGACCTCACGACTCTGATAACGGTAACTGTCCTTTGTATTTCAGACACTTAAGCTTCAGTTGTATGAAAAGCCAGAAGATTAATGTGATTTTTTTGTTTGTTTTTTTTTTTCTGTGAATGCAGCATTTAGAGAGTTCATAGAGCTTATGAAGAGATCGAAACAAAGCTCCTGATCAGTGAGATCTACTCTTTGTTTTGTACGTTACTGTTTTTAATCATGGCACTTAAATTTAAACCAACTGTTTTGTTAGTATTGACAATGGAGTGGCATTATTGTTTTTTGCTTTGACTGTATTAGGGAACCATCCCACCTATAAAATAATTAAGAATTTGTAAAAGTAATAAAAAGAAGAAAAAAAGATGTGAGAGTTTGTGTCTCTTAGAATAATGATAGATATTTTGATTAGTAATCTTTTAAGTATTTTGTTTTCACACAAGTTGAACATGAAAAATAAAATGAATTTTTTCAGTTATTTATATAACTAAGGTGTCCAATTTGGACAAGTAAACCAAACCAAAATAAATAATTGATATCAAAATTTAAGTATCTTGTGGTATGATTTAAATGGATTCATTTTTCTACATTGGAGATTGAACTATCTTTTGAAGATTTACCACTGTACAATAGTTTCAGAATCCGACGAAGAGAAATGAATCCCGACATCCATATCTTTCGTGGGACCCACAACGCTTCTCCGACTAAGTTTCACGAAGAAATCTTCAGCCGGCCATTTTTTTTTTTGGGTTAAAATAAAGAAGTAATTTCTTCCACTGCATGCGGGGCAATACGTGTTAACGTCAATTCACGAAACCAAATTTTTAAAACAATTTGCGTTTTTAATCCATGATTTCGAATTGGAATGTGCGCGTCCATGAGTTTAAGCTCGTGATATTGCACACTATGATAAGCAACGACTCATTCCCGGTGAATAAATCGCCGGTGACGTCGGAGGAAAACGGTGGTGTTATGGAAAAATCTAGTAGTTATATTACGTAAGCAGAAAACGTGGAGAGATTTTTCCTTTCTCTGTAGTTGGAAAGTTTTTCTCAATGGAGGGATTTTGTATTCAAAACTCAGTTCTGCTCTCACTTCTTCTTGTTCTACATCTCTTATTAATCTCCAACTGTTTTGCTTCGAGTCAAAACGGCGACGTTGACGAACGGGTTCGGATCCAGGTCCGGGTCGGTTTGGTTTTGGATTTGGGTTCCGTGGAAGGGAAGATAGTGAGAAGCTCTGTTTCCATGGCGCTTTCCGATTTCTATGTCATTAACAGTCATTTCAAAACAAGAGTCTCTCTTTCAGTTAAAAACTCTCATGGAGAGCCTCTTCTTGCTCTCGCTTCTGGTAACATAAATTCTCTTCTTTCTCTGTTTTCATTTTTTTTTGTGAGATGATTCACAAACTTACAATCTTTGTGAATGAAACAGCTACAGATTTGCTGCAAACTGAAGGAGTAGAAGCGATTATTGGCGGGAATTCGTTGCTGGAAACGAAGCTTTTGGCGGAACTTGGGGAGAAAGCTAGGGCTCCTGTGATTTCACTTAACTCTCCGATTTCATGTTCATTGAGCGGATACAGTCACTTGATCCAAGCCACACATGATTCTGCCTCTGAGGCTAAGGGTATTACAGCTTTCATCAATGGGTTTGATTGGAACAGTGTTGCTTTTGTTTATGAAGATCATGATGATTGGAGAGAGTCTATGTATATTATGGTGGAGCATTTACATGAGAGCAAAGTTCGTGTACAGTCCAAGATTGGTTTTACTGTCTCTTCAAGTGAAGATTTTGTGACGGATCGGTTACAGAAGCTGAAGGAATTGGGAACTACTGTCTTTGTTGTTCACTTGTCTGAAGTTATTGCAACTCATCTCTTCCCATGTGCTGAGAAATTAGGGTTGATGGGTGAAGGGTTTGCTTGGATTCTCACTGCCGAAAGCATGAGCAGTTTTCATGAGTCTATTGATGATTTTGCAAAGGAGGCAATGGAAGGTGTGGTTGGTTTCAAGTCTTATATACCAATGTCTAAAGAACTTCAAAATTTCACTTTGAGATGGAGAAGATCACTGCCAGTTGAAGAAACAGAGATAACTCGGTTGAGTATCTCTGGTGCATGGGCTCATGATATAGCTTGGGGTTTGGCGAGTGCAGCTGAAGTTACAAGGATGCCAAATGTATCATCAACTTTCCTTGAAGCAATCACAGAGAGTAGGTTTAAGGGTTTGATTGGTGATTTCCAATTGCATGATAAGAAGTTGTTATCAAACAAGTTTGAGATTGTGAATATGATAGGATCAGGTGAGAGAAGAGTAGGATTTTGGAATTCTAATGGTAGTTTCAGCAATAGAAGACATTTATCTACTACTCATGACAAGCTGGAGACCATAATTTGGCCTGGTGGGTCTGCTCAAAGTCCGAAAGGGAGTAGTCTACAAGAGAGCGGTAGAAAAAAGCTGAGGGTTCTTGTTACATCTAGCAATAGATTCCCAAGACTGATGAAGGTAGAGACTGATTCAGCAACAAATGATATAACAAATGTCGAAGGGTTCTGTATTGAAGTCTTTCAGGCTTCCATTGCACCTTTCAACTATGAAGTGGAGTACATACGTTGGCGCAATGGAAGTAACTACGACAATCTTGCATATGCACTTCATAGCCAGGTACTAACCATGGCTCGATTTATGATTACAAGTACTTTTTCATCTATGTAGAGTGTTTGAGGAAACTGAATCAACTCCATTGGAATTTTTTTTGTTGCGTCCCATAGAAAGACAAATATGATGTGGCCGTGGGAGATATTACAATCACCTCTAATAGATCCACGTATGTTGATTTTACGTTGCCATTCACCGAAATGGGTCTTGGGATTGTAGCAGCAAAGGAGAGAAGTATGTGGGTGTTCTTTCAACCTCTAACACCAGACCTTTGGATAACAAGTGCAGCTTTCTTTGTCTTGACGGGTATTATAGTTTGGTTGATAGAAAGACCTGAGAACACTGAGTTCCAAGGATCTTGGTCACAACAAATTGGAATTGTGTTTTGGTTTGGCTTCTCTACCCTTGTTTATGCTCATAGTAAGTAATCGCCTTTTTCACATTCACATATGCCAATCTTGGTCGAAAAATTAGATTGAAGTGATGCTTATCTTTTGTTTCTTACTATTTGTGATAGGGGAGAGGCTAAAACACAACTTGTCAAGATTTGTAGTTACAGTTTGGGTATTTGCAGTGCTCATATTGGTTACAAGTTACACTGCAACGTTGACATCAATGATGACGGTTCAACAAATACGATTCAACTCCAATGACTATGTTGGTCACCTCTCGGGCTCCCTCATTTCAAACGCGGCCCTCACCAATTCCAGCCTCCGAGCAATGAGATTATTGGGTCTCAATACTTCAGAAGATTATGCTCAAGCCTTGTTGAACAAAAGTGTCTCATATATTGTCAGTGAGTTACCATACCTCAAAGTCCTACTTGGCGAGTATCCTGCACATTTTCTCATGGTCAAGACACAATCTACCACCAATGGTTTTGGCTTTGTATGTATAAATCCTTCTTCAGCACCATCAGTCTCTTTACTCTTCATCTTCTTTTCACTTGTTGACAATAAATATGTTTGTTTCAGATGTTTCAGAAGGGATCCGAGTTGGTGCATAATGTGTCCCGGGAGATCGCGAAGCTAAGGACGAGCGAGAGGCTAAGTGAGATGGAGAGAAGATGGTTTGATAAACAGCTTCCATACACAACCGATGATACATCAAATCCTATAACCCTTTATAGATTCCGCGGTTTGTTTATGATCACCGGAGTTTCATTCGCTTTCGCTCTTGCAGTACTTCTCATTCTTTGGCTCCGAGAAAGATGGGAAATTCTTGTGAATTCGGTCAGTATATACCTCTCACGACGACTTAGACATTTCATGATCGTCTTCACAAGAACTATCCATCCTATTCCCCTCGATAACCCCATTGGTCAGAATGCGGTTCAAAATGGGTCACTACCGTAATAGACGATAGGAACTGATTAACATAGAGAAAACAGTTGTTGTCTCTAACTCTAACTCTGACCTTGGAGCCTCAGAGAACAACCTTGCCGTTCTTCCTCCAATGGTCCACTAGTTGAAACTAAAATTGTATCAAACTAGGATTTAAATTGTATTTTATATAATAAATATAATAATATATAATTTATTGGATTTTTAAATTCACAATTTTAAAAAATTATTTCTCATTTATTTATTTTATATTATAACCTATTATAGTTGAAATATATAAATATTGCTTTTGAGTTGTTGTATTTGTTAGCTAAATGTGTTAATTTGTATTGATGTACTTAAAAGATCTTATATATGGAGAAGCAGAAAGTGCTCACGTTCGCTCTTAGAAATTGAAATTACGTTTTTGCACCCTTTAATGAAATTGCCTAATTTAATTCTTTTAAATTTTTTTCTTTCCGAATTTTTTTTTTAAAAAGAGACCTAATTATATTTAGTGGGCTTATTTTTCGAAATTGTCGAAAAAGAATTTGCCCAAAAAAATTCACCGTCATATGTAAAACCCTAAAAATCTCTATGTTACAAACAAGAAAAAAATTAATTTCTTAAGATAATACCGCGTTTTTGCCCTAATTCCTAAGCTATAAATACAGAGTCTAGGCCACACAATTACCATCCAGTTTCTTTATCCTCATTAGATAGTTTCGATATTATGATTTTTTATATAGCTACGATTCTTTTCATGAATAGAGTTGTGTATTGTGTGTTGTGTTTTATAAATTGGTGTTTATATGATATTACTGATTTGTTTATTTTATTTTTTGAGTTCTATATATGTTTGTTTGATTGTGTCACATAAATAACTTTTGGGTATCATCTAATCATGTGTTTTATTGCAGGTAAATCTTCACCGAAAATATTGAAAAAGATGAAGAAGAATAAGAAAAATGCCAAAACAAAAAGGTAAAGTAGTCTCTTAAGTTCATGTCTTTTTAGTTACGTTAGTGGATCGATCCTCCTCTTTAATGGTGTTTGTGTATGATTTTGCAGGTTTGTGTTTATGGAAACATCTTGAATTGGTGCATGAAATATTAGGGTTTGTTTTCTTTTCTTTTCTGTGGCTTAAAATGATTCACCTTCTCAAGGTTCATCTCTTTATATCCGAGTAAGAATTTCGAATTTGATTTTAAGTCATAAATGAACGTCTCTTTATATCTGATATGTAGGGAAGTGTTGCTTTACATGAACGTCGATTTTTTCACCTCAAACAACAATGATGATAAACACTATATGATCACAAAATTCTTTATGTCGACAAGGTTTTTCAAAGATCAGCTTGAGAATTGTGACTTATGATATTTTCGCATATATGTTAGTCCAAGATTGCATGCGAATTTCTTCAACTTTGCTTCATCTGCATATATCAACAATGGCTCGATAGACAAGGAAATTTATCACGGTATGTATTTTATATATATAAATCGAGTAAGGTTTATTTTTAGGTTCGTTATGGATTGGATCCGATCTTTTGTGTACTCCGGTTTTGGAGAGTAGATGAATTCAAAGGTGGTAAAAAAAATATATGTACATGTTTTACATTGGATAATCATTTTAATTTTTTCTAATATTGTGACTTATGATATTTCGCATATATGATTAGGGAAACAATGTCTAATGTCCGGTGATGGGTATTCAACTGCGTTTATCAACCGTGACTTCTCCGATATTGATAAAAATCGTTTATGTAAACTTTTTTACGTACTATTTTCTAAAAAAACAAATGCTTACTAATTTTCATTATTCTATATTTTTCTCTTTTTTACATAGGCATAAATTCACGTCTACCATCCATCCGGATGAATTTGGGGAGGTTGTTGATGAGAACTAAGGATATTGCCATATGACGTGTGAGAAACTACTATATAAACCCGTTTGTAGTATGGTTATGTGTTTGTCTTTTATTTTGTTTTTCTTTTTTCAATAATCTGAAAACTCTAAGTTTGGTATGTTTACATATTCGTTCTAATTTATTATTAAGACTTAGAACGATTTTGTGTGTCTGTTTGCGAGTAGATTATTCTACCGTATTTTAAAATCTATTAACTTCGTTTTCGTAACTTCATTTTTTTTACTAAATAAGTCTGGCCGTGCAAGGTGCGGGTAACTCCCCTAGTTATATTTATAGGTGTAAAAGTAATATAGTGTTAATAATGACAAGCATTTATAATCATGGACTATTATAATAATTTGATATTATAAATACTTTAAACGTATATATATATATATATATATATTAATTGTTATAGAATTCAAATATTATTAATATTATAACATTTTATAGAACTTAAATATTATAAATACTTTAAACGTTCTATAAATTTTAAATATTTATAATGTTTAAACTTCTTATAAATTTTTATAAAGTTTAAATATTTAAAATATTTGAAACTTCATTAAAGTTTTAGTTTTACAAAGTTTAACTCTATAAGAAGTTTAAATAATTATAATATTTAACTTTTTAATAAAGTTGAAATATTTATAATATTTTAAAACTTTTTAAAAGTTTCAATTCTCTAAAATAAAGAACCAGAGTAAACCGGATAACAATTGCTCATTCGTATCCTGAATCATTTTGCACTCTGAACTATTGCCCAATTTTTAAACAATGTGGGACATTGTACACATATTGTATCGATTGAGTAATATATGTCCGTTTAAAAAAAATTGAATCACATTATATGTAGAAAAAATTATATTATTTTATTAATTCTATTTATTTTATATAAATTCAAAATAAATTAAATATAAGATCATATAAAAGTGCAAGGAAAATTATATATTAGTGTTTAGATTAGGTAAAGAGGTTTTAAGAAATTAGCAATAACAAAAGGATGGAATTGGAAACAAGACAGTTCAACAAAAGATGGTGATGGAAGCTTCAAAGTTACGTTTGAGGATGTTGGGAATCATAGACCACAAGAGCGAGAGGAGAATGTTGAAGCAGGGCAACATTTAGAGGATAAAGAGCTGTCCGAAGAATCTGAAGATGATGGAAACCCTGAGACAACGCATGACCTCGAGCTGGAACATGAGGCTGCAGAAACAAGTGTCTCTGTTTCTCCTTCCCCTGTTTTAAGAAGAACACGAAGACAGGTTAGTAAACCAAAATATCTTGCGGATTATGTCTTACTTGCGGAAGAAGAAAGGGAGATGTTGCTTTTGTGGTTAAACAACGAACCAAGGAGTTTCTACGAAGCAAAAGAACACAAAGAGTGGACATGCGCCTGTGAGGATGAAATCAACTCTATTGAAAAGCTTAAGACATGGGGTCTCGTGGATTTGCCAATCGTAGTGAAACCAATTGGTTTAAAGTGGGTGTTCAAACTGAAAAGGAACTCTGATGGGAGTATAAACAAATACAAAGCTCGTCTTGTTGCTAAAGGGTATGTACAGAAATATCGAGTAGATTTTGAGGAAGTCTTTGCTCCGGTGGCGCGAATTGAAACAATAAGACTTCTTATCGACCTTGCAGCAGCTCACAGATGGGAAATACATCACCTTGACGTCAAAACAGCCTTTTTGCATGGAGAACTAAAGGAGGTCGTTTATGTGTCTCAACCAGAGGGGTTCGAAAAGAAGGGAAGAGAGGATAAGGTTTAAGAACTCAACAAGGCATTGTATGGCTTGAGACAAGCCCCAAGAGCATGGAACAACAAGTTGAATCAAATTCTCTTGGAACTTCAGTTTGTGAAGTGCTCTAAGGAGCCATCTGTTTATCGCAAAGAAGTTAAAGAAAATCTACTTGTCATAGATGTGTACGTTGATGATTTGTTTGTCAGGGGAACAAGTTTGGATCTCGTTAACAAGTTCAAAGAGGAGATGTGCTCTAAGTTTGAAATGAGTGATCTCGGAAGACTGACATACTATCTTGGAATTGAAGTAATTCAGCATGATGAAGGAATAATGTTAACTCAAAGTCGATATGATCTCAAGATCCTAGAAGAAACCGGAATGAAAGATTGCAACCTAGTTCATAATCCTATGGAGACCGGATTAAAGTTGGCAATATCAGAGAATGAGAAAGAAGTAGATGCTACGGTTTTTAGGAAAAATGATGGTTGTCACAGATACTTGCTTCATCCAAACTTATCATTCTGTGTGGGAGTTCTAAGTAGATATATGCAGAAACCTAGAGAATCACATGAGGCTGCGATGAAGCAATGTTTGAGGTACTTAAAGGGAACTACTAAGTTTGGCTTAACTTTTAAGAGGCGTATGGAAATACCAAGACTAGTTGGCTATAGTATAGTAGTCATAATGTTTAGTTCATGGCAGGGACTGAGGCGGCAAAACAAGCAGTTTGGCTCCAAGATATATTGAGTGAGATCACAGGGACATTATGTGAAAATTTCATATACGCATTGACAACAAATCTGTGATAGCTCTTACAAAGAATCCAGTGTTCCATGGCCGAAGTAAGCACATACAAAGGCGATATCATTTCATAAGAGAGTGTGTGACAATGGACAAATAGAAGTAGATCATGTTCCGGGAAGTGAGGAAAAGGAGGACATCTTAACAAAGGCACTTGGAAGAATCAAGTTCAAAAAGATGAGGGAGCTCATTGGCGTTCAAGATTTGAAGGAAGTTGAGTTCAAGCTTAACGGGGAGAATGTTGATGTAAGCTTGAAGTAAGTTGAAGTTAAAAAGAGATTCGGACTATAAACTTTAGGAGTTATCTAAATTTGTATTTAGGAGTTATCTAAATATGAGTTCTAATAAGAATAGGATTTGATTATGAGATTCTTATATAAGGAGATGCCAAGGTGTGGCATAACTTATGAGTTTAAGAGTTGAAAGAGAAGATTAAGAGATTTAGGTTTTGAAAGAGTTTTCTAAATAATAAAAGAGAGTTATCAAATCAGGATCACCTTTCTGCCTTAGTCGCTGAATGATTCAGAAACTAATTCAGCAACACGAGAACAAGAGATTAAAGAACAAACTTTTTTTTATTGATTTAGAAACTACTCAAAACTAAATCTTTCTAGGTCTATTGGAACAACTCTCCAAAGCCTCTCTTATATAGAACTTATATATCCCTAAGTTTATATGAGTCTCTTCATTTAGACTCTCATGTGCCTCGACTCCTCATGAGTCTCGACTCTCTTGTTCGAGTATTCTAGCTCATGTAGTAGCAGAGCTCCCCGAGCTGTTCGAGCTCACCCCGAGCTACTCGAGCTCCCCTGGGCTATTCGAGCTCCCCTGGGCTATTCGAGCTGCACCGAGCTCCCCCCCGAGCTCTTGAGTTTTCTCTAAAGCTATTCCGAGCTACTGAGCTTCTTCAGCTATACGAGCTCCCCTCTGAGCTATTCTTTTTCTTCATCATAAGGCTCTTATTTATACTAGAACCAAGCTTCTCCTAATCCTATTATGATAAGGAAATCTTACAAACTTTATCCAATTTGACATTATTTGTATTTCCTTTCTTGAATTTCCTTTCTTCTTTTTTCTTTCTTCTTTTTCCTTTCTAGCATCTTCTAGAAAGAGATTACTTGCTCCTTAAGTAAGTTGGAATTATCCAACATTCTCCCCCTTAATTTCAACTTGAGTTACGGGAAGCTTGATCTCTTCAACTCTGATTAGGTTCCTCACTCTTTGAACTTTATTGTCGCCAATTCCTTAGTAAGTGTGTCTGCCTTCTGCTCCACACCTAGAACATACTCAACTTCAAGCTTTGTTGAGATCCGATCTCTTGCTCTTCCTCAGCTTTTGAGATCTTCAAATTTTACATCTTCAAATTTGACTCTATCTTAGTATCCATAAGTATTCTTTGGGCATATCCATCTTGTTCTGCTCCTTGAATTACTTCTTGTACTACTTCAAGGACTAGTACAAAACACCCAAATACCATGACCATTACCTTCCTCGTAAGTGGATCATAGAGTTTATGTTCTTTAGAACCCGGCTTGGTTCCAAGATTAATCACACTTCTTGACTCTACATCTACCTTATTTAGATGCGGTCCCGTGATCACACTTCTTGACTCAACATCTAACTTCTTTAAATGTGGTCCCATGATCTTTGAATGACGTACGACTCCTCCTACATATCATTCAGAAGCTTCATTAGTTACCTAGAGATTCCACTCTCATTGCATAATCGATTGAACTCCATAAACTCTCCTCCTCTATCGGTGCGAAAGGTTTTGATAGACAAGTCGGCTTGCTTCTCTACAAACTCTTTAAACCTTTTGAACCAATCGAAAACTTCAATCGATATGTCAACAACGAACCATGTCTTGTTCTTGTTGATTGATTCAATCTCCTCTTCACATGCTTTCCTCCATTGAAGCACGTTTTTTTAACTCTTATAACATCTTGGCTCTTAAAGTTGAAGTCTCTCACTTTCAACATAAGCTTGCTAGAACAATCCGGAAACTGTTTCAGACTGCAGAACATAATCTTCAAGGTACCGCAGCTGATTCACTTGTCGACTCGACCTTGTCATCTGTGGTACTCCTTGAACTACTTCACCAACCTCATCCTCGTGGTTGTCTTGAGTGATATCATCCATGACATCATCTTCTTCATGTTCTTCTCCAACATCTTCTCCATGAATCAACTCCAAAACTTATATGACCTAACCGAGCATGTCATGTCCTTGTAGATTCATTAGCATGTCCTCCAGTCAGTCCTTCAGCGAGTCCTTTAGCAAGCTCTTCAGCGAGTCCTTCAGCAAATCCGTCAGCACGTCCTTCAGCGAGTCCTTCAGCTTCTTGCGTCTCGTGCAAGTTTGTCTCTTGTTGTCCCGTTGCTTTCTCTAGACAACTTGATGCATAATGACCCGCTTTGTCGCATCACTTTTGGATAAATTCTTTTTCTGCTTATAGTTGTTATCACCGGTTTCTCCTCCTTGAGATTGTCAGGTGGACCTTCCTTGCCCCCTGCCTCTGCCGGAACTGTCACCTCCAAAGCTTCCTCTACCATAACCAACGTAGTTATAGTTTCCTCTGTTATAACCGCCTCTGTTTCCTTCTCGAAACTTCCCGTTGCCTCCATGCTTAGGGTTTGAGGTCTTTCGTTTTCTGTTGTGGATTCTCGTCCGCCATCTTGCTTACGAAAGCCAAACACCACAGGTCTTAACCAGAGTCTTCAAAATAAGCTCTGATCTTGTCCACAGTCTTCAAACTAAGCTCTGATACCAATTCAAATCAGGATCACCTTACCCTGACTTAGTCGCTGAATGATTCAGAAAGTAATTCAGCAACACAAGAACAAGAGATTAAAGAACAAACTTTCTTTATTGATTTAGAAACTAACCAAAACTAAATCTCTCTAGGTCTATTGGAACAACTCTCCAAAGCCTTATCTCTTATATAGAACTTATCTACCCCTAAGTCTATATGAGTCTCTTCCTTTAGACTCTCATGTGTCTCGACTCCTCATGAATCTCGACTCTCTTGTTCGAGTATTCGAACTCCTCTGGTAGTAGAGCTCCCCGCGCTGTTCGAGCTCACCCTGAGCTATTCGAGCTCCCCTGGGCTATTCGAGCTCCCCGAGCTCCCCCCCCCAGCTCCCCCCGAGCTCTTGAGCTTTCTCTCAAGCTATTCCGAGCTACTTAGCTTCTTCAGCTATACATGCTCCCCTATGAGCTATTCTTCTTCTTCTTCTTCATAAGACTCTTATTTATACTAAAACCAAGCTTCTCCTAATCCTATTATGATAAAGAAATCTTACAAACTTTATCCAACTTGACTTTATTTGTATTTCCTTTCTTGAATTTTCTTTCTTCTTTTTCCTTTCTACCATCTTCTAGAAAGAGATTACTTGCTCCTCAAGTAAGTTGGAATTATCCAACAAGTTATTCTTTTGTTTTTGTGTTCTTGATCTTTCTTTGAATTCTAGAGGAAGAAGCTTGGTGAGCTTTTCAGAGACATTATAAAAGAAGAACGAGAAAAAAGCTCGGAAGGCGGTTCATCGCTAGCTATAAGCACACCTTATCGAGAAGGAAGAGAAGAAGAAGTCTAATTGGCAGCATCATCGTTGTCTTCCTAGATTCTCTTCATGTGGTGGAAGTTTCATGGAGAGGACGAAGAAGATGAACTCTGAAGCTCCGGTTGTTGTTGTGAAATGAGATGTAGAAAAATCTTGAAATTTGGAAATGTTTTGTATATGAAAAAATGATAGAGAGAGAGGGAAAGATAAACGACGCCGTAACTAGAAATTAATTAATTTTGTATCAAAGATGGGCCTTTTATAAATTAGTATGGGCCTAATATAATGATATGGGCTTGTTGCCCAATGAAAGACCATCTCTCTCACTCACAAGTCACAACCACACTCGTAAAGATTGGTGTGATTAATGGCGCTTTCTCTCAGCCAGACTCGACCACCAAGCCTTAGCCTTAACCTTAGCGTCGTCGTTTCTAAGAAAAGGTTAGTTTCAATCCGATGCGGTCCACGCGATAACCGCGGACCACTTCTCAAAGGTCGAATCCTAAGCACCGAAGCAATCCAATCGATCCAATCTCTCAAACGAGCACATCGAACCGGTAGCTCAATCTCTCTTACCCTCCGTCCTCTCCGCCGTCTCATAAAATCCGATCTCGTCTCCGTCCTTCGTGAGCTTCTCCGTCAAGACTATTGTACACTCGCTGTTCATGTTCTCTCTACTCTTCGTTCAGAGTATCCTCCTCTCGACCTTGTTCTCTACGCTGACATCGTTAATGCTCTTTCGAGGAATAAAGAGTTCGATGAGATAGATCGTCTTATTGGAGAAATTGAAGAAATTGATCAAAGAAGTGATGATAAAGCTTTAGCTAAGTTGATTAGAGCGGTGGTTGGAGCTGAGAGGAGAGAGTCGGTGGTTAGGGTTTATACCTTGATGAGAGAGAGTGGGTGGGGGTCTGAGTCGTGGGAGGCTGATGAGTATGTGGCTGAGGTTTTGAGCAAGGGTCTGTTGAGACTAGGAGAGCAAGATTTGGCTGCTCAGGTCTCACTCAAATCTTCAATTCTAAACCCTTGAATTTTTCGGGTTTTTCGGGTTTTGGTGAAGGTCATAAACTTTTGTAACATGTGGTAGATACTCATTTGGATTCCATGTTTCTATCATTATTTTGGTAATGTTAGCAGTCTATATTTTGTTGCTACGGTTACTTCTTTCAATTTGCTTCGAGCTGAAATCGATTCGGGTAGCGAAAAACGGACTAGTTACGAAATGATTCATGGAAAGAAATTGTTCCTGATGAAATGCTTGTAAAAATGGTGAAAGAAGCTTTGGTCACAGCGAAACAGATGGCTTTTAGATGGATATTCGGATTGGAGCTTGATTTGTTCATTCTTCTTCAAGAAATTCTTGTTGAAAGAGTAATTGGGGAGTAGATTAGATCATGTCTATATCACTTGGAAGTACTTTTCTTCCGGAGATTGTTGCTAGACTCACTCGACGGGTTGTTGATACCGAAGAGAAAGTGAAACTGTGGTGAAAGACTCGTACCCGAAATGTGAGAGATGTGTTTATCGATGTACCGAGATATAACAGTTATAATCAAGGGAAACTGTTCGAAAGAGGAAGTATTTGGTCAGCACAAGACTTGACCATATGGTTATCTCTGGAGACAACAATAGCCTATGGTAGAAATAGAAGATAACAGCCATTGCGATATGCGAATTGGATCGGTAACAAATATTTTATGCATCGACAAAACGATTGGAAATGTACTATATAATGTGGCGTTTACAATGATGTGTCTGAAGTTTTAGACATGGGGTAAAAATTTATGTTTCTTTCATTGTTGTTGTAAACCCTTGGAATGAAATGAGCACAGACTCTTACGAGGCAAAAACTCAAACTACTCTATGAAATGAGTTTATATTTGATTTTGACGATTAATGCATAGACGCCATAAGAAGGAAGATGCAGGAGTGCCACCAACAAATACCTGCAGATTCATGAATTCAACTATCAAGTATAGGCAAAATCATTCTACTCGATAAAACCAACTGATCCTCTGACTCAGCTAGTATGTAAATGTTTTCAAGGCTTACCACACTGGAGCCATGTCTAATGACAGGTTGAGAAATGGATATGGCCACCTAAGTCAATCGAAGAATAGAAGTGTAAGATAAATCAAGAAGTAAGTTTAACATATAAAAGATGATAGAGATAAAGGACAGATAAGAGTTTTTACCCTACGGAGATAAACATATGGAGAATCCACTGGAAAAGAACGAAACTTCCTGTCCACAAGATGAAGTAAGAGAACCTGAAAAAGGGAAATTTCTGCAAAGCAACATAGAAAAAAAAACCTCAGGTTGATACATTAATGAAACGAAAACTTGTCGTAACATCTTCTATGCAGAAGAAAGAAGTGTTTTACCAGACGGTTAAGAGACGTGTCAATAAGCAGCAAAACGAGGTTGCTCGTGTGCAAATTCACAGTCATCTGAAACACAAATGTTGGCAAAGTTGAGACTGAGTTCAAGTGGCTCAAGTTTGATTCAAACTTATGCAACATAGGAAGTGCCGTTAGCCGTGTACAAGATTTAACTATTATACTGTATAAGAAAAATTCTTGATGAAATGGCGCGAAAACTTACGAAACCCATCTCATAGTCCTGTAAAGACAGAAATGGGAAAATCACGGTCCAATATATACTGTCTGTAAGCACAGCTGCTCCAGCACCCATCTGTTTTTCAACAAACCAAAACAGTATCAGTGATCACATATAAACTAGTGAAGCAAGAAATCTGAAAGTTGCAAACTATACATCACCAAAGGAATGTGTCTACCTGATATATAATCTGGAAGAGATGAACATATGACTTTAGTGCCTCTGAACCAGAAGTTTTTCTCTTCTCGAACGAAACCATGTTGTCACCATCTATAAGGGGCGAACGAACCCCGTTCTCTGCATCGATTCCTACTTGATCAGCAATACGTTTCGTGTTCCCTTGCTTCTTGTATTGTAAACATCCATAAATTGAAAGCAATGATCCCATCTACACAACACACAAGTGACAAAAAAGCATTCATAATCACTAAACTTGACTATAACTACAACCATATACATTCGCAACATCGAAAATCAAAACATACCCCGAAATAGATCGCTATCAATGTAAATGTCCACCTACCAATCATAAATCTCAATCATATCAGTCTCAAAGCATCAAAGATCTTCACTTTCCACAAAACAAAGTAGAGATTTTTAAAGAAACTTACTGAGTATAATAGTAGTAAATGCGCCATCCACGATTAGCATACCGGACAATATTATTAGCAAGAAGGAAACAAAACCCGAGAACCCGAAAACCCAACAACCAACCCGGATGGACTTGTTCAAAACAAGGTCTCCAAACATCATCAATGCACAAAACATCAGCATCATCATCATTACCACTACCATTAAGTGATGGTTGAGTTTGTACTGAACTATCTTCATACTTCCATAAAACGAATAAAGAAACAATCATTGGAACTATTACCCATATTGCACATAGTAACACTCTCCAATTAAACCAGTAATCAAAGCTGGTCAATTCCAAAACATTCTCAAGATTCATTTTTTTTCTTTCTCTAGTTGATCCGTCTGAATATTCGGATCTTTTAGATCCGAAAACTCAATGGGATCAACACCGGACTTGAAAACGCAGATCAGAAACTGTCTCTGCAGAGGAATTAAAGTAGCTTAAATTGATTTACATATAGAGATATTGATAAAAGATTAAGTAGCTTGGATTCTTGATACTTACGTAATGTTAAGAGAAATGTGAGTTCTTGTTCTTGTGTGTGATGGAGAAGTCAAGTTGAAACTGTGAAGGTGATGAGATTCTTGTATAAATCTCCAGAACTATTATCCAATGGCGGTGTCAGAGGCCCACTGGGATGGATAAATCGGAGAACACAGAGTGGAGACAAGGACACGTGGGACCTTCTACGTTTGTCCAACGATTCGTTGAGAAACGGCGTCGTTTTGGTTCGTGTGTGTTTTACTTAAATAGGGCCTGTATTACAAATCTGTATAAATGGGAAAATATCTACATGGGCCTATTTATCGTTTGGTTTGTGTGTGTGTTTTAGTTTATTACTTTGTTTTTTTTTTTTGTCGAACAGCTTTATTGGATTGGCTAAATGAGCCAATGTGGAAGAATATTGTTTACATAAATAGATAGTTGTGGTAGGGCACGAACATTTCATGCCAATTTATCCGTCTTCACATTTAAATTTCTAGAAATTAACGATAAAGAGAAAAAATCAAACTCTTCCTTGTCGATAAAGAGAATTTATTACTTTGTTTATGATTTCAATTTTCTATGTAGTTTAGTCAAAATATTATTAATGAATATAGATACCAAAAGTTTATGTATTTTTCTTTTAATTATGTAATATTTATGACTTTTCGAATGGTGATAACAAAACAAATGGAAAACTATCGAAGATATAACGTATACGATTTAATGTTATTCACCAAAAAGCAAAAGGGAAGGAAATACAAAAGTCCGGTTCGTTTGACAAAACTCTCACTTCATGAAAATATAGAAATCGATCTTCCCACTTTTACACTATTAAAAGTTCACAATTGCGTCTAATTCAAGCTCTTTACAAATTCTAGTTTGTTTAAATTGAAACAGAACAAATGGTATACAATGAGTAAACTTTTGAGAAGAGACTGATTAATAAAATATCAAACTATGACTAGATGTTCCTATATTTTAAGTGTCGAAAATGAAAAGTTTATAGATTTATAGATATAAATATTACATTATACTAACCAGATATCTTGTAAACAACTACTTTTTATTTTTATTTTCGCGTACCCGATACAAAATTATTGTTTAGTGACTAAATTTATTTGTAGTGGACCTTGTGGTCATCTTCTCCTGACCGCAAACGCACTCACCATTCATATAGTTTAACCGAAAATTGACAATATGTATAGATTGTTTGTTAAAAATGAAAGGTCTTTCGATTGAAGACTAACCAACAAAAATCCGATAGAGCAAAGAAACCTTCAATTTTTTTTTTTCTGCTGTTCAATAGAAACCTTCAATTAAACCACAATATATATTACATGTTCAATTCTTCAATGAAAAAGCACAAACTTAATTTCATAAATAACATAATTAGATAGGTAGATATAATCAAGTTCGACTTGTTTATATTGCACGGCCTAAAGACGACCATGAGCAATCATCTCCAGCAAAGCAATCTCGTTCATCATAACTTCATCACATCCATGCATCACCATATAGCTATCAGTCATTGGCTCATCAAGCTCCATGGTCACACCACTTCCAGAACCGGACGCAGAACCAGAAGTAGACGCTGATCCGGAAGCAGCTGACACAGCCGCCAATGATGGCATCTTGATCCTTCCATTGTCTAAACCCAAGTTCATTACACCATCAACAATATACTTACACTCATCCTCTTCATACTTCGAGACCGCAACCATTACATTCTTACCTTTATCTCTCATGTTTTTTGGACCAATGTTTGCGTTTGCGTTTGCGGTCATGAAGGTACCTTCGTTGTAAGTAACAGACCTAATGTAGTTCTGAAGAGTGTTGCTACCAAGTGCAAGGGAGATTTCATCTTTTCCTTTAGTCCTCCTTGAGTGTTGTCGACGTTTTGTCGCATTCCAATGGTTCTTGATCGTATTTTCGGTGCGTCCCGGGAGCTTTCGAGCGATCTCAGCCCATCTATTCCCAATCTCCTTGTGGGCTTTTATCAGTATCATATCCTCTTCTTCAGTCCATACATCTTTCTGTAACATACAACATAAAATATGCTTATATGTAAATGATACATAAAATATTAAACAAAATATTTATTTTATATTATTTTTTTCCTTTTTATGTTTGTTGAATTGTATGAGAGAATCCAAGTGAAAATGACTTTAGTTTAAATGTCTTACCAATTGTGAAGTTTTGTCCGCAACTAGAAGACAAAATGCCTTAAATAAATGTCATAGACAATATGTATATACAAACAAAAGTTTAAAGTACTCATGCATGAAATAAAACCGTATACATGTTGACAAGTGTGAAAAAAGTTTGTTAAAATTCTCTTAGAAGATTCTCTATGTATCATGTATGAATCTGAACGTATCGAAAAATAAATTGTGAAAATAAGAAGAAGGTAAAAAATTAAGAGACCTTGATATCGGGACGGAGATGGTTATGCCACCTTTCTCTGCACTGTTTTCCGACTCGTCCTTGAAGCATCTTAGCAATCTGAGACCATTTTTTAGTTCCATGAAGTTCCACTAATTGCACCAATAACCTAAATATAGGTAGAATCATCAGAAAATCTTAATATTAAAAACAAAATCATACTAGATAGGTAAATTATTTATGAGAATTCCAAAAAAAAAATTCGATGTTGAATTTACTTGTCTTCTTCAGGAGTCCATTGTCCTTTGATGATGCTAGCTTTTTTCGCGGGTTTACATATCCTCCTCATCTGCAATCTCTTGTTCTTCTTCTTGATCTGCTCGGTCTTGATCATTACCTGATTATTTTGACGTCGATTCATGATGGTATCTTCATTTGCGCTCAAGATTGGTTTAGAGTCCACCATGGCTAGATTGAAGGTTGACTCGGTCCCAAAGATGGATCCTTGGTTTTGATCATTTTCCCACATAGTATTGTCATGTGAGACATGTGAAACGTTGGGGTCAGTAGTTGGTGAGGTGGTATAGGCCATGCCAAAAAACCCTTGGTCGTTGGATGTGCCATGAAAATATGCCTCGAAAGCTTCGGTGCATGGAGAAGGAGTGATGCCCCTAATGGTTTCTTTTGAAGGTGTTTCATATGTGTGAGGCTGCATATCAAAGTGATAGGGAACAATATTTAGATTTTGTATAAAGTGATCGGAAGTTGTGCTTGAGATCTTTGATGAAAGATTCTTGTGACAAAGATCAGGATTAGAGTTTACCATCGATGGAAGATGTGACCTATCGAGATTAATCTGGAAAGGTTTATGATGTACATTGTGTACACAAGGAAAATCATCGGTAAGAGATGGATAAAAATCTTTTAAAGCGAGGCTATCATCGTACATAACGGCTGCGAGATACGGATAATGCATTTTGATCACTGACTCGAACTCCATACGATGATTATGATGAAAATGTTTAGAAGATGGAACTACTTGAAAATTGAGTGAAGTACGAAACCCTAGATCTGAAAGAAGAAATGAGTTGGTGAAGAACACAAAGACACTTTTTTTTTTTGGTTTGAAGAACACAAGACTTGAAAGAGGATGATGAGAAAATTAATTGATAAATGAAATGAAATTCAAGCTTGAAGATGAAATTAAGGAAGAGGAAAAACAGGGAGAAGTAAAGGTAAGGGTGAAATATTAAGACTTTATAAATAAGAACAACCGTGACGAGCGATGAAAGTTGGCAAAGATCTAACCATTGATAACTTGTTTGAGTTAAAAAGTTACTTTAAAAAAAAATTGGTAGTCCAAGGGTAAATTGGTCACTAAAATTTGTCATGTAATAATCATGAAGTCGTTATAAGGTAGTTTGTATTGTTGCGGAAAATTCTCGGGCATATTTGTGACAAGTGTAGAACATGTAAGCAGTATTATTTTTACTAGCCGTGTGATTATCTTTTTGGTGTTGCAATGTTAATCTAACGGTTCGTATTGTACTTAGGGTCCACAAATTCATTGGTCCCACAAGGTCCAATTCTAAAACATTGACCAAGAAATCTAAGATGACAAAAAAGTATATATATTAATGATATTCCACATTTAGTTTAATTTATTTACTTCTTAACAACATGTATTTACTTTTTTTTAAAAGAAATAAAGTATTTAAAATAAATCTCATTTCTCTCTATATTTGGTTTGGGATTTTTGAATTTTTAAATAATTAAGATATGTTGAGAAGAAATAACATATCATCTATTTCCAACTTTAATAATTTGAAATGATATTTAATATATCATATATTATAATTTTTTTTCCATAGATAAATTTATGTTTCACAAAACTCTTCATCTAAATAATATATGTGATATTTAATTTGTGTAGTAGAAAAACATATTGAGTTACAAGTCTCCGCACAAGCTTGAGGGTATCTTTAGGCGATGGTTTGAGGGCTTGACTGATTTAAACGCAACGGTTGCGGTTGCGGTTGTGGTTGTGGTTGTGGGAGTTTGCGGAAGCGGGCGATTGCGGTTTCAAGCGTTATTTAGCGTTTTGACCGATTGGTTTAGCGGTTAAAAACGGGTGCGTTTACGGGAGATTTACGACTGGTTGATCAGCGGATATACGATAGCGGGTAAACCAAAATTTACCAAAATAAATTTAATATATGAATATAAAAAGTATAAAAACACCAAAAACTATAATTATAAAAAAGTATAAAATCTTTAAACATGATTAATGATTAAAAACCATAAATAATTATTCAAATAAATTTTATATTGAAAACAAAAATAATTATTATTATTGGAAAATTAAAGTTAGATAATTATTATCTTTTTAGAATTAACGTGAATATATATAAGACTTAATAATATATATTTTAATTTATAAATTTTCCTATTTTAGTTTCTTTCTTTTTTTTAACTAACCGCAACCGCAGACGCTTGCGGGAAGGAGCTTTTGAAATCGAGCAATTTCGAGCGGTTTTAAGCGTTATGGAGCGGTTTCTATGATTTGTACCAGCCGCTAACAACCGCAACCGACCGCTAACAACCGCTAGACGGGTACTAGCGGGAGAACCAATCAAGGCCTGAGTTAAGATGAGTTTAAGATTGTATTGGCAAAACAGTTTTTGAGTTTTTAATACCTTCAACTTGTAAATATCACCTTTTATTGATTAATAAATTTGACATGATGATATTCAATGTTAAAATAACAATGACTCAATTATCTTTAAGTATTTGGAAAGAAATAATTTGGAAAAAACGGTTGAAAGATATTGCAATACAATAAATTTTAATAGAAATTTAAGAATATCTAAAAAAATCTATAGGTTATCAAAAATAAAAGTAATTTTATTCAATAGAAGAAACTCAAGACATGGAGATAAATTTAAAATTACTCTAAATTAAAAATTCAAGCATGGAAGTACACCTTAGAAGCCAAATAACAATATTAGATAGCAAAATTCAATTTTGTAACCTTTATAGTTAATAGTAAATACCATAAAAATAGCGATGATATGATTTGAACCCGTGCAATTTTATACCAAAAACAGACTCGCTACTAAATTACATTGCTTCAACTCTTTTTATAAACAATTTTTAACTAGTCCGAATTTGTAGCCTCGTTACCAAACTTCCTCATGCCAGGGCCATCAGAGATCGTTTCAACCTTCTTCCTTTTCAAAGGAGAGACTTTTTTTCACCTTTATCCCCTTCCTTACTGTTATGTATTGTTGCATCGGTGTTGCGCGGTCAGCCCTTGTATGTGAAAGATGTTCTACAGAGGTCTTGCCCTCTTGTATCTTCAATGATTAAAATTGGTGCTTTGTCGCCCTTGCTTTTGCAACCGAATTCAAGATTGCTTTTCTCTGCCCTAATGGTAATATCAAGCTCCATCAATATATCACATTTGGTTCTCTTTGTTTTGGAAGGCATCTTTCCACTTTTGTTTTCTAATGTTGTCAAGGTTCGAGGTCCGCGACTATGATAATTGCTTGAGTGTTAGGATTGCTCTTACATATCCCTTTATCTATTGCTTTTATGTGCTTTGCTTGATTTTATAGCAGCATTATCGGTAGCTTTTTTGGCTCTAATTTCATATTTTGAAACCAATTTCCTCCTTGAATGGAGACTAGTAGTAATCTATAAACCTTGTTGTCCAAAAAAAAAAAAACTAGTCAGAATTTGTTTAGTCAAACTATCTCATATTTTCAAATGTTTTTCAATTTCTGATTAATTGTCGTAAATTTAGAATGAGCTAGACATATTTAAGTTATAAAGTTCTTAATAATCAACTTTTCTTTTGAATTGGACAGTTAATCAAAAGTTCTATTTTATTTAATTGTGTGGTTGAATTTATCTCTCTATGATATTTTCTCCATTTTAAATATATAATTAAGCTAAAATTTTGGCATTCGCCGGAAGGTTATATTATGGTATTAGGGTTCACCGTAGAATGGGTTTATGTAACCAAAGAGTAGTGAATTGACTATTAAGAAACTAACGAGACTTCATGATGCGATAGCAAAGCCAATGCTTCTAAGCATTCTATTTATAAGGAGGCGTGTGAAAAACACCTTGCTCGATATGGAGACAAGCAAGATCCTGACACAATATTAGGGTGGGTCAAGATGAAATCTTGGTGTAGAAAAGGGAATACTCCCTCAAATGGTCTCTAACACTCGAATCAGAATAATAAAATACAGCATGGGTAAATAAAAGTCGGCTTAGGTCAAGAGGTGATCCTAGGCTCAATTCTCCTTTATTAAGCATATAATGGTTTTAAGCTGTTGAAGCCGTTTTTCTTAAAGGAAAATAAGAGAGACCTAATCTCAAACGTAATATCTTAGTGTCTTTTTGAATGGTTTTGTGTGTTGTGTGTTGTGTGTTGTGTGTTGTGTATTGTAAATTTGTAATTTAGAAAGATTTAACCGAGGTCTGGCGACCAAATGTTGAGTGGTTTGGTGGAGTCACTCTAGCTGTTAAATGCCAGGTGACTAACTGCGACATATTTTTTAGCAAATGGGATATGATGTTGCTAGCTATAGTGCAACAAGATAGCTTTCGCGATGCATCACATCTATCAGAAGAAAGCATGCAAGGCATGACTACACATTGAATATAATGCTTCTATTCAAACGAATAAGGGCCGGCAGCCGGCTCATCACTTTTATGGGTCCTAGGGCAAAAACTAATTTGGGCCTTTAAAATTTCTATCTTAATATTCTTTTGCTAAAAAAATTTTTGTATGATATTTCTATTAAAAATTAATTATTAAAACCAAAAACAATATATAAAAAAGTTTTATGGGCTCTTATAATTTTTATTTTTATGTTTTAATCTAATTTATACATATTTTTAAAAATGAACCCTTTAATTATTGGAATACGGGATTGGGCCCGGACCGTCGCACCGCCCGCCCCTATATAAGCCGGCTCTGAAACGAACACATCTAATGTTTATTGAGTCAGTGAGGGAGCATCCAACTTGTTGTGCATTGGGAGAAACAAAGAGTTCGTGAGTTGAGACTACTCAGAATTGGAAAATAAAGAGTACAATGTATTTGAGACTTCACACCTGCGTCATTGAATGCTAGTTTCCACTTTCGAGAGCCATTCTTGTTGGGTATGACGTAAGGGCCTACTATTTTTTAATGTCCAAGGGACTTGGTCATTCCCAACCTCGTATAATGCAAATTATTTTGATACTTCATATGGCTTCATTGGTAGATGCTTTACCGTTATAGTGTCTTCTAAGAACAATTTATGTGTTGTTTTCACACATGAATTGGTTTTGTTGAGATTATGTAAGGTAATCTTACCAGGTAGTAAATCAGTATAGAATACTCCATGTCTTGGTTCGTACAATAGCATCAATCTCCTTTATCATAACATCATTTCATACCATGTCTTTCTTAGCCTCTAAATACTTTTGTGGTATGGGGATATTTGTAATGATATTAATGAAAGCACGAAAAGCTCATACAGATAGAAATAAGATATATAGTTTATCATATGATAAGGCATAGTTTTAATGAAAATATTATTGTAGGAATAAAATTTCTGAAACGGAAAGACACTTTTCTATATTATGTTGATTTACACTCAGAAGGAGAAGAAACAAAAAAATATGACTCATAGGATGGAATTGTGTCTACCTTTCAGTGTACGCTAGCAGAAAAGAATTGGATGATGATCATACTAGAAGCAGATATTCATCAATAGGCGCATGAAAAGAAAAATGATGAAATAAATGTTTTACATCTTCTAAGATGGCAGAAATTGCAAGAGGAAAAATATCCTCGTGAAATATGACATGTCTTGAAACGGAAACTAAGAATGTTTCTATAACCTTTGTACCATGCAAGATAACATAGGAATACACAAGCTCTACCCCTACGATCAAGTTTAGTTCTAGACATAGGAGAAGTAAAAGAGTAACACAAACAACCAAAGTTTTAATAGCAACGTAATCTAAGGCTTAGAAGTTAACTTCTTAT